AAACTTTTTAGAGCGAATGTTGATCGCCCTCATAAAGTGACGTCAGTTGGCACGAAAGTCGCAGCTGTTATAATGGCATAGTGACATCATTGCTAGGTGCGTAGGCATATCACTGCAATTTTATGTGAACAATCGCATTACTTCCAGTTAACCGACTCTAATGTGATATGTAAGTTTATGGGCGAATTGTTACTCGTAAACGATGTGTCGGCTTGTTGCCTACGATGTTAAGTGCAAATTCTACCTAATTCCAACTCCTTAGTACGGTTTATAACTCTTTCAAACAAAGCATGTTGACTGCTATGTTCATTGCGGTGACTTTATACAGCTTCACCATACGACTTCTGTCGTCATCTTCGTGACAACATTTTTCTGAATAATCAACACCCGAGCTGTCAACTTCTAAGTCACTCGAAATTGAATGGTTGGTGATTAAAAATTAGGTCATTCCAATGCGATATAGACGTCTGAATCATCATTTGATTCATCAATATCGGAAAACGCTAAATGAATTTCACACTAAACGATCCATTACAATAATGGTTTGCTCACTGTCAGCTCATCAAGCTAAACTAATAGATAAGCTACCCCCTAAATTGCTGTGAAGTACTGAGTGGCGGGTAACGACCACAGATACACAAACACCGCTCTAATTGCCCATGTGGTTAGCGCATAGATTAAATTCCTCACTCATCATGAATATGAATGAACAATGTCATTAGCATTCAACCTATTTATCCGTAATTGATGAACGAATGACGTTTTCTGCGTAATTTATTGCTACAGCAGTTTGTATTATGATAATTGTTACTAATATAGCAATTATTTCATGCTTACGATTCCGTGGAGCGTCATAGAAAAGATATCAGGAAATGACAGCCAGATAATCCAAAGAAATGAAAATTGTGTTCATCGAAAAGCTTTAGTTATATTTGTTCAACATTTTTAATTTCAGTCTTAGCAGTAAAATAAAAAGGCAATAAAAAAGTAAAATACTGCGCCCAATATGCGTTGGCAGACTTCCATATAATTTGATCCTCACAATAACAATTTCACTCAAACAAAGATTATCAAAACTCCTTTTAAAGCTTGCAAGTCTTACATCTCAGGCCATCTAAAACAACGTCACGTTCTTAGGGCGTTGCACCTCACCAAAAAAGCAAGATTGAGCCTTTGGATTTGAGCGATCATCGTTAGACAAAATCTTTTTAAAGGAATATAGTCTTTCCTGCTTGGTAATAATGCCCATGATATAAGCTTATATTTGTATCCTTTGAGCTTGTGTATGACAGGCTAGATCCCCCTATAACGGTGAAGTACAGAGGTTCTTAAACTTCTCTGTCTCAATAAATGCGAGCTATAAACAAACAAAATAGATGATACGCAATAATATCCATGTTGGAAAACTGTTGTTACTTTATGATTAAGAAATGTATATTAACAGTCTGCTCCTAAATATCTCTGAGGTCCTTTTTGCTCGTTTTTATCGAAAACATCAAATAATTATGAATCCAAATCGCTAGCCTATTACTTTGAGCACCATGGTCCTATGTAAACCGGTCCAGCAAAGCTATCGGAGTTTGTCTCTATAGTGCATGCACGTGTACTGTAAGCAGATACAGTTGCACAATCGCGGTCAAAGTTGGACAATGGATGCTTGAAGCTTTCGAGTTCGGTCCATCTAGTTACCGGTCATAGTTAGCGTTGTTATTTGTACTAATGGTACCGTTATGATGATTTTTGAAAGAGAACACTATGATGTATTATTTAAAAAGTATCCACCTAGTGAAGTGACTACCTATTAGATGAAATATTTGTTGCAAAATGCAATGACTTCAATATGAATTTATCATTGCCAAACCGTGTTAAAAATAACGAGTATAAGCGTCCAGTCACAACATTTTCTTAAATGACATTCACGTAACAAGAAGGTATAAAATTACCAGTCCTGCAACCACACTAGAATGATCATTTCTCATAGTTGCCGAAGACGTAAAAGAGGTCTTGCACAAAATAATTGATTCAATAACAGAGACGGGAAAATTCCCACAGTGTGTACATAAGGAAACTTAACTTGTTGAAACAACGCCGACTGTTTTAAGAAACAGACATGTGTTAGTACGAAGATGACACAATACCTGTGTGATAAGCATGGTTTGAGGTCGATGGTCACGCTCGCTGCGATCAGGAATGTGCCAGCATTCCGAATCGGCACCCATCGAACTGTGAACTTTTGTCACAACAACTCGCAATGCGAAAATCAACCGTAAATCCTTTGATTAAAGTGCAAGATTATGCTGACTATCTATTGGATTAAAATAGAAATTAATTAGAACGCGAGCTATTTATAAACGGTTGAATATTTAAGTAATGTTTTGTTTACGATTTTTGTGCTGTTTTATGTTACGATAGAATCACCTCCGTAGCCTTGATGAGTTTTACTGACTTATTCGATGTTATTAATATCTTAACATCAAGATATTGGGCCGGTGTTAGTGATGGATGCCATTAGAACATATACCTTCACTATTGTATTCAATTGGACTAGCTTTCACGTGGCCCGAATAGCGTGTAATGATATGATGACTACTGCTGTCATGTGTGCTCAAAATATCGGCTACAAAGCAGCAATTACAGAACATACCTTTTGGTTTGTGAAATGTAAAACGTTCACCTTAATTATCGTCACTCACACACATCATACTGTATTGAAGTAGTAAACTACTTATGCGGAATGATACGTAAAATACACACTTTTCAATCTCCCAAAATAACATTTGCAGACTATAAACAGCCGCATGTTAGCGCTAACATTTTAACATTCACAGTGTTTTTTTTACTAATTGATCAATAGTGTTTTATTGACATGCTATTAATGCCCATAGTTCGGACTATAGGCATCCTTTCAACTTGTTCGTCAGTTTTCAAATAGTTAACGAGCATAAATCCATTATGGATAGATACAATTTTGTATTTCTACGTTTGGATCGTGATAAATAGATAGTACGTGATCATTTTGACATCGTTAACATTATTCGCTTATAAAATGAAAATTACGTGTGACAACGGAACATAATGCCTTGTGATGTTGTGTGACAATGACAAGAAAAGATTAGCATTTAATTTCTTAATACATGATTATAAAATAATTGGCATAAAATATACCTATGCAGCTCTACCTAATGCTTCAAGGAAAACTGACATGATTATAAGTTTACTTCTATACTTCTATAAGAAAAAGTCATAATCACATAGACTGCCTATTTGAAGGACAATTACAACCTACTAATGTGAATTAGCAAGTAATTAAGTAATAGAATTGGCTTTTTGTTGTCGTTTTGACACTTGCAATACAATGGGATGTCGTCACGGAACGTGCTAAGATGTCTGACTCATACCAGTACTTGTTGTGTGGTACTACTTACTGGGAAGTCGTGAACATTGATAAAAAATATCATTTTCATATAACTACCTATACAATGTGATGAAAGACGCTTGTTGAAAATCAGTAGCTTACAATTGACGGGTTACTCAATTCGGTACATGTCTAAAAGTCTTCGTTTTGTTAAATAACAAGATCATTTTGTCTAACTTAAGTTTTGAATTAATAAGATACATTAACACGTGTGCCTCAATAGCAGAATGTCCATACTAAGTTATAAACGAAGGACCAATTCATGATCAAGGTCGTAAACCACTGATTAACTGAACCCTGTAGGTATCAGTTTTTGTGGGAGGTTACTGACCAATAGCATTTTTTGCTTCATAAAATGACCTCATTCTTTCCTATCATTTTAAACGATCAATTTATTAAGAGTACCACCAATGATATCAGTATCTAAGCATTTAGTTCATTATGTATTATCCACTAGGAAGCACATACATTTTCGTGTTTTTATTACCACTGCCTTAGATGGCACACTTAACAGCTTACTGGCATAAAAAAAGGACAGTGATAATTACATCCTTTTGGCTGACGACCATTTTATTTTAGGAGCAGTCTCATGGAATTTAAAACTGTCACAGAGTTACTGCACATAATAATATGATGCTGTTTTAACGTTGCCCCCACATAAGAATTCTCTCCTGTGTTGCGACAACTGAAATTTGACACTCCCATAGTCCATACACAAATATTTAGTGGGTTATACAAAGATTTGCTCCATTGTGCGATCCCTCGACACGTTACCCAGCGCACAAATCATACAGTTGTTACTTTCCTATCAACACACGACTACAATAATGTTATCATACACATTTTCCATAAGAATATAAATATTGGAATTGGCTGCACGGTTGGCGCGGTGGCTGGGCAACCGGCTGCCGTGCAACGTGTCGCGGGTTCGATTCCCGCACGGAACAACTCTTTGTGTGATCCACAAATTGTTGTTTCGGGTCTGGGTGTCATTGTGTATGTGAACTTGTATGTTTGTAAACGCACCCACGACACAGGAGAAAATCCTGGTGTGGGGCAACGTTTTTTATTAAAAAAAAATAAAAATATAGGTAGGTACATCTAGCACATGGTGACACGAAGAATAGGTTTTTCTAACAAGTTGCTGAGGGTGTCAAGGTGTCCCTTTGTGACTTGTGAAGTTGTGAGCCACTCTTTGTGATAAAGTAACCTCCCCGCCTCCCCATCGTATTTACATGTCACTCAATGTCGTTCTAATAGCCTCCATTGGAGGTATCTAGTGCCACTTAATGGGTAGTATACCCTTGCGGTTCCGTGGTGGCTTTCAAAATATGTAAACTTCGATTAATAAATATGTAGACAAACTGTAATTTTATTTAAAAGTACAGAATACATCTTCTTTTTCCTCGCCTTTAAACTGTGAAAGAAAAAATGTTTGAGTGCTATAGCGTGTGATGTAAAATAATAGGAATAAAATGTTCTAAAAGAAAGTTTCCTAACTAATATTACAATATTCTTAACGAATCTTAAAAATAAATAGGTTATTTATTTTGCAAAATTTAACAAACTATCTCTTTTTCCACAGACAGTGCAACACGGCTTTCCACACAGAGCATCAGCGCTAGCATGGGACCCACTCCTCAGGGTGGTGGCGCTGGGCACAGCCACCGGCGCCCTCAAGGTCTACGGCAGACCCGGCGTCGAACTGTACGGGCAGCACACAAACTCCGACTCCAGCGTCACACAGATACACTTTATACCTGGTAAGTTGAACTTATTTATTATCTTATCAAGAGCCATTTTACCATAGTCCTTAAACTTGACAAGTGGCTATAGAGGATCGCAGCTATAATTCCTGATCGCACCCAAAAAGAGAATGTGACCCGGCTGAAACAAGGTTCATTATCCCGTATGTGTATTCAACACTTAATGCACCCACGTTTCAATATTAGGTAATGTTTTAGCTTCTTAGTTAGTATAGTTCTTAGACACAATCAGACGCATCCGTTTCTTATCCAATCCATTCTTTGTAACTTGACAAAAATAACCTTGGATAACATTGAGTGCTCTTGGGAAAAAATCAACTATTTAAGTATTTAGGTGTCATATTTTCCGTAAGTTTCGCAATAGTTATCGCAACGACAATAGTCATTGTGACGTTTTATTTATATAAATCGAGTCAATAGAGAACTACAGCCTGAAAACATATGTAGCTAAAATATTATTTAGACACTGAATACTGGGATTTGGTTTTTCCACTAGGAAATTCGCATTAGCAGTCAGGAAGTTGACTTCGTGGAAATAGGAACGCTCATATCTTAAAATATGACTAAATATCAAATTAAACAAGATGAACCCACGCAAACACGTGCTCACTGTATGTTATTTACAAGTTTTTTTTTCTTTTCTTTATATAACGTTGCAATATATCAACTTCATATGTCTATGTCTATGTTATTAAATTCAATTCAATAGGTAAATAAATACAAACACAGACGTCACTACACTCCAGGATATATTTTAAAATTAATTTACTAAACAAATGACAAACATAAGTGACTAATTCATCAACTAGTCGTCTGTGACGTGTTCAAAGTAATACCAAATTAAGAAATTACAACTCTACCCGCCTAGTAACAGAGTTGTAATTGTTCTGTTATTTAAAAGCGTATATCAAGGTGTGCCCACCCGTTTTTAGATTACGTTCTTACTAGTAAACAAATTGGAATTTGCTTTTATTCATATTAAATATCATATAATCGGATCTACAATTATGTCAGATAAACTTTATCGTATAATGAAAGTTAAGATATTGTTTTATATTGCCCTACATTAAGAACAAAATATATACACATAATATACAATAATACATACATACATACACATCACATACAGACTCGGAGCAACAATTTGTGGAACAACCTCATTAAAAATAATAATTTCTAAATTAAATCGCAGAGGGATTCACAGTCGCGGAGAAGGACTGCGCCCACGCATACGGTTTATTATGAAACGTTTAGTCACGCTGTGGAACTTTGATAAGGAATTATTTTAGGATATTATTCATCACCACACTCTCGCAGTTTACTTATATACGGCCTTTTTTAAAAATGATAGATTTAATAAGAGTTGATTTTTCACAATTTTATTCTTTGGTTATTTATAAATGTTTGGCTTTCGCAATAGACTTTCCTGTGTTAATATTTTAAAATAGATCTATGGTATTAGGTAAATAAAATCTTTATTTGTTTCTTAAGTAAATGCAAATAACAAATAACTCGAATTCACGATATTTAACTTTGCCGAATCTTATCATACCTACAGATAAAATGCGGTTGATAATAATGCAATGAACTCCTTACATATTTTTACTATAAACATCTACTCCATTGAAACTAAATTGAGATGGGATAGTGATTTAATACAAAGGAATTATTAAAAGTCGTTTCTTGCATTAGGGAGCGAACTTATTGCCGTACTGTGTACATTAGATAAAGTCGTCTCACTCATTTTTCTTCTGAAAAGTACTAAAAATACAGGTACTATTTAGGTACAATTTTCTTGGAATTTAATTTAATTGCCTACACGGTATCTCTTAATAGCAAACATACCTACTTTTTATGAATGCTTCAGAGAGCACCAGGATGTCTAATGACAACATCGCTGGCAAGACAGGAAGACGTCTATTTTTGTAGCGAACCACGACCGAACCTAATAAATTAGTCATATGACATAATCTACTAAATAAAGTAACATACTGATGCACTATATTTTATTTAACCTAGACTACTTCAATGACTGTGTCACAAATATGATGCAAAAGCAAAACAGGAGAATAAGTCAGTACCAAGTTCGGTGTTGTAGTTAGAATATTGAGATTTTCGTTTTCTGGTAGTACCGAGGCTAAGTATTTATATGACAAGCTCATTTATTTATACTCTAGGAAAAGAATAGGGTCCCATAACATTGTTTATGTATTTCTACTAAATATTATATTAGCTCAAGTCTTCGCACGTATTAATTTCTGAGTTGAATCTTCCTCTTACATCACTCTATCTATTAAAATTAATTGCGTAATTTTCAAGATCCAAGCATACAAACACAATGACGGTGAAAAGCGACTTTGTTTTAAACTATGTAGTGATAAATACCATTTTCATTACAGGCACAGGCCGCCTAGTATCACTATCCGACGACAACAGTCTTCACTTATGGGAGATTAACGAGAAATCCCTGGTGGAGCTGAAGACATATTTATTTGAGGGCAAGAATAAGAAGATCTCTTCACTATGCATCGAGTCCTCAGGCAAGCACCTACTGATCGGCACCGAGAGTGGAAACATATACAATCTGGACCTTAACACGTTCACCGTCACCGAAGATGTGATATATCAGGATGTTGTTATGCAAAAGTAAGTATAAGGGTTTTTTATTAAACTCAACACCGATTAAATTCATTAAGTCTTTGCCTACTCCATCGGAGACAAGCGTGAGGTTATATATGTATGTATGTAAAATTAATTACAAGATCCTAATTCAAAATCTAGATCGATCGAAGTTTTTTGACGAAATCTCCATACAATTGTGTCAAAAATTGATCGAAATACAAGGAGAAACCAACTTGTAAATAAAACTTATAATGAAAAGTGAAAAAATAAAGAAAATAAGCAATTATTTTCGGAATAAATACCCGTTCTTATGACAATAAACGGGGAGCAGTGTTAAGCTTGATTTGCAGACCAATCAATACATACTAAAAGCTTCAGAATAAACTGAATGATTTACAATAACGTTAAAGAAATATTAGTAGAACGCTAGTATCCAATTTTATGGCGTACAGATTGTGTAGTAACAAACATACATGTTTTTCACACAAACAAAAGCAAAACATATGTTTGATTGATTTATTACTAACCCAGGTGTCTGTTAGATCAGTATTACGCAAGACTTTTTATGAATGTTTCTTCCGGTTGCTTATGAATTGTTCTAAATATTTATATTAAAAGTTGTTGCTGTTAAGTTTAATAACACTCTAATTTTATTTGCTTATTGAAAACGGAATGTTTTTGCAAACAACCCAGGGTATGTGTGAGGAGTACACTGTGGGTTATTCTTTAATTTTTCTCTATCAAAAATCATCATTAAATCACATAAATTCTTAATAAAATCGATCCACCTTCCTTTCCTAGTCTTAAATTCATCCCTCGTCTCATTCTGTCTCTTACACAACACAAGCAAAAAAGCTAAAAAACCCTTTCCCCTTGTTTCCAGTTGTCCAGAAGACTTCAAAATCAATCCAGGTGCAGTAGAAGCTATCTGCGAACACCCTAAGGTCCCCAGCCGCCTGCTGATTGGCTACAACAGAGGTCTGGTCGTGTTATGGGACCGCATCGCCGCCGCACCCACACACACCTTCGTCTCCAACCAACAGCTCGAGAGCTTGTGCTGGAATGATGAAGGTAGGTTAAAGAAATAATATTTTAAGAAAACAGTAAGAAATCGACATTAAATCGAAGTTAATAATAAAGCGAGTCTTATTGTTAGATTGGTAAAACTATTGAGGACATCTCAGTGTTTATTTTCTACTCGATAACACACATTCAATTTATAATTGAAACAATAAACCCCTCGGGAATTGTAAAATCTCTGTAGCTAAAATTCCAATAATGCTTTCCTGGACCAGGGAACTCTAAGTAGTCTTACAAGCAAATTTCATGTTAAAATCTAACCAACTACCCATTACGTCTCCACAGGAGAACACTTCACATCATCCCACAACGACGGCTCGTACGTGACGTGGGAAGTAGCCGGGGCTGCCAGCGACAGGCCTCTGAAGGAACCCATCACTCCGTACGGACCCTACCCCTGCAAGGCCATCAGCAAGATTCTCAACAGAACCAGCGTTGATGGAGACGAGATCACTATCTATGCAGGTAAACACCAAAGATCATTTGTAAATTGCCTTACAATTACATAAAACTTTCTTGTCAAAACATATTATTTTCGACTCTATTACAACAGCTACAATATTAAAAATTGTTTAAAGATATCTGATAAATGAAGGTAAAATAAATAAGGTGGTACATAATAAATTAGAAGGGTTTGAAGAATCCAGGCGTGTTCAGGCTGAGTTGCTTTCCTGCATTTTTTATTCACTGTCTCTTATGATAAAGTTTATTTTTGTTTGCAGGTGGTATGCCAAGAGCTTCTTACTCCGACAAATATACCGTCACAGTACAGCAGGGAGAGAAACACGTCGCTTTCGATTTCACAAGCCGAGTAAGTACAGTTACTTCATTAGTCTCGAAATAATGACATTATAAAATTAATTATTATTTACTGCTTACTTGAACAGTTCGTGCATGCACAGTTAGTTTCAAACCATACCCGCGGCTCATAAGCATGATCGTACAAAATGACTATATGAAAACATAACTTTATTAACATAGTACTGACATTTTTGCAAAATCTTACCATGGATACTTATTTATAACCATTTCATTTTTTATAGGTAATCGACTTCTTCACAACGACCCCCGTCCCCCCCGACGGAGTGCCCCTACAAGAAGACCGCCCCGACACTCCCGCGCACATACAGCTACAAACTGTCAACCAAGTCGCCGCTGCTTTGGTAAGATCCTTTACTAGAATAGAAGGAAAGAAGACCGATGTTTTTAGATATAATCTGGGACTTTGTAAACAAACAGCTTACTCCATTCATTAATGACGTAAATACGTCACGTCAACGTAGATATTATGCTTTTTGTACACTTGTCTCAGCACAAAACTTGACAGGTCCACTCCATTATTACATTTTATGGCCTTTTATGAATGTCCTCTTATTAACTGACTAGTATTGTGGGGTAAACAAGCAGACAGATCAACTGATTAACTGAAAATGTCGGGTTAATCTGGTAAATATACTGAAAAAAGCTCTACTAGTTTCGGTAGCTATTATAAAAACAGATCAACTGATTATTACTCGTCAGTGACGACCATAGACACCCACAATACTAGAGTAATTACAAGTACGTGACCAGCTTTGTAGAAGGAAAGGGAGTCCTTGTTGAATTAAGCTCGAATAATAAATAGTACTACACTTGTGTTACATTTGCGCGATTCTTATCCATAGGTGGTACTAGCAGAAGAGGAGTTGGTAGTAATAGACCTGTGCGACGAGAGATGGCGTCCACTACGTCTGCCGTACTTGGTGTCTATCCACGCGTCCGCCGTCACCACCGCGCAGCTCGTCGACAACGTCGCCGCTAGTGTATACGACAATATCGTCGCCGCAGGTACTAATCATTTGTCTAATAATGACTTAAATTTAAAAAAAAATCTATCTTACTGATCGAAGTAAACTTAAATGTTAACGGTACTTGCTACACACATACAAACTACATATTTTCGTAATCTATTGTAATGTTTTATAAATGTAATTAATGTATTACATTAATTGAAGTTGTCGGATTAGTTTCGAGCTCGACTGGAACCTTTGACCAGTCGGATGTTCGCAGTAAAAAAATGTTTACCGAATCTTTCGAATGCATTTGTCAACCAACTTCAACCATACATTTAAATTACAGGTCAACAACAAAGCGAGAATGTATACTCGGAGTCAGCGTGGCCTATATCTGGCGGGTGCGTGGAGGGCGAGGGCGCGGTGGCGGAGCGCCAACTGTTGCTGACGGGACACGAGGACGGCTCCGTGCGCTTCTGGGACGTCAGCGGAGTCGCCATGACTCCTCTATACAAATACACCACTGCACATCTCTTCAGGTCAGACATCCTATACCCTACTATCGATAATATGGACACTAGTCACTTTAACATCGAGTTTAATTTGAAAGCTATAAAAACAGTTTTCATAATAACACTACTTATATTATATACTAATAAGCTAGAAGAACATAATATTGTTTAACTAACATAAATTATTGTGTAAATGCTCTACTAATTAAATTACCAATAATAATAATTGTCAAAGCAAATATGCTTACTTTAAAGTGATGTTAATATAGCCTGCTAAAGTCATTCATAGCTTGCTATTCGGGCCTCGTTTCATGAAAGTAATAGTAGAAAGTTTTGACTGGGACGTGTACGTGGCGTGTTCGATAAAATAAAAAAAATGTATACTAGGCAATCATGTATGCGAATTGGTTCAAGCGTTTAAACGAAAGGCACCTCTTGAACTCAAATAGATGATGTCCTTTACATATTTGAACGTGGTACCTTTTCGTCTTCTATATACAATATCTATATATATAAAAGAAAGTCGTGTTAGTTACACTATTTATAACTCACCTCAATCGATTTAGATGAAAATTGGCAGGGAGGTAGCTTAGAACCAGGAGACGGACATAGGATATTTTTTTTATTAGATTTATTTTTATTTTTTTATTAGATTTATTAGACTTTTTATAGAATACTTTTTTTTACTTTTTACCGAAAATCACGAACGGGAACGGTGGGAAATGGGATTGGGCGTACGAAGTCGCGGGCAGAAGCTAGTATACATATATAAAAATGAAACCCGTTTCCCGTTGTCACGCCATAACTTGAGGATGGCTGGATCGATTTAGCCGATTTTTTTTTTGTTTTGATTATTATCGTCAGGAGAAGGTTCTTATGATAGAAAAAAAATCCTGAAGATCTTATGGGAACGGAAGAAAACGGGATTGCGCGTACGAAGTCGCGGGCAGAAGCTAGTTTAGTATAATTATCATTCGTCATTGACGACTCTTCGACTACATTTTCCTGATAAGGTATCAGTAGTTTGGTCTGAGTACACCTGGGCCTTTAGCCAAACGCCACTTTAGCGCTTGTCTACAGAGAGAGTAGAAATTAAAATGTATGGGGATTACACTGAAAGTGTCAAAAATTACGTCGATTCCATATAATTTTCTATTCTACAAGTAGACAAGCGCTAAAACGCATTTGGCTACAGCTGCTGTACTGTAAAGTTGGTTTATATAATTGGTCTTAAAATACCATAGACATGTCCCTTCAAACTTCAATCAAACCTATTTCCTTCTGTAACGAGGCCATAACTGTCAGCTAACAATAATGTTTTCTGCTTATTGCTTGCTCTTAACGAAGTGGGCTCAAACGGTCGACCACAAGGTAACAGTCAATGTTGTAAGCATGAAAATATATATGTATTGCCAGCTGCATGATTATTTCATTTTTTTAATATACTCTTTTTAAATTTAAAAACAAAACTAATGCACGCTATTAAGAGCATTGTTTGAAAACAATAATGTTTATAGATTATTATGTTTGATAGATTTTAAATCATATTTTTCTTTTGTTTCATTCATGTAGATGTAAACTGTTACCTTTTCTATTTCTAATCAATTAAAACTATAAATTGTATACTTACTAAAGTAATTATAACATTAGAGCCAAATATATTAACTTTACATGTATGATTTTTTAGTAATCTAGCATTATCTAAAAAAAAAAAAAGTTTTCAGTAGACATTTACCTAATTTTTTTATAAACTTTATACAAAATTGCCTCTAGTACTAAATCTCTTTATCCTACCTGCATATTCCTACTTTATTACTACAATGTAATTAACGTGTAATTGTTTATATTTAGTGGTGAAGAAATAGGCGAGAATAACGACAGTCAGACGGACGAGGAGGAATGGCCGCCATTCAGACGAGTCGGTACCTTCGACCCGTATAGCGACGACCCACGACTCGCTGTTAAAAGGGTAACAATTATTATTATTAACTAAATATATATAACAAAATGAAAGAAGCCAGAGTTCCTAAATACTGTTTCTCTGGAAAACAAGATTTTCAATGCATTTCGTCGACGCATAATTTTTTTACTTGTTTACTATTGTAGTGTTGCCATACTTACAAAAAAAAATTCCCAAGTATGTTTAATTTTGTAGCAACTTTTAGTAATCTAGCACAAAATATTGCTAATTAATGTAAGTTTAATTAAAAACATTATCTGGTTACTAGGTAATCTTGTGTCCTCTATCGGGAATGCTGACAATCGGCGGCGCGGCCGGTCACATTGTCATCGCGAGCCTCAAGACTTCTTCCAGCACTGCTGAAGTCAAGGTAAGATTAACATTTAACATGATAAAACAAGGTTTTATAAATTATAAGGCTTTAATTTCATTTTGAACCTTTATCCCGTAACTTAAAGCCTCACTGCTATTTATTACCGTATTTTTTTATAATTTTGCACTTATCGCTTTAACATTCTGCACCACCCAATGGTCGACTGTCAGAGAACTCCTATGGCATTAAGTCCGCCAATTTCACAGTGTATGTGCAATAAAGATTAATTCGCAAAAACTGTGTTCAAATCCTTCGTTATAGCATTAAGTCCATCAAACATTTACAAGAAAAAAAACTATTGTAATATTTTCTTATGTTTCTTGTTTGTTCTTCCAACAGTCTGTGACAGTGAACATAGTGTCTGATCGCGACGGCTTCGTATGGAAGGGCCACGACCAGCTCACTCTAAGATCAGGCTCACTCACATTCGCACAAGGATACCAGGTATGTGTGGTGTGAAACTTTGATAATAAGTAACTTTTACAATTAGGTACTTGCCTTAATCAAAAATAAACTATTTCGACTGTTCAATACAATAAAATATTTAAAAATAATCACACTTTCATTAATTGATTTTATGACCAACTTAATTTATTTATTTATTAATTTAAGTACACACATTCAACACAGAGGACAATACATAATAAAATATTTCTCCAGCTGATTTTTAAGAAATAATAATAATAATGCTCTTTGACGCTCAAAAATTGTGACGTCACAATATACAATTTCGTACGAAATTCATAGAAAGCATTGAGTTTGGCTAGTTGGCAGGTACCCAATAATAAATGCGGTGTACAGTTTTGTCATTATTTAGAAATTGTTTTTGTTCGCTATTTAGTAAAACTGATCTTGAAATTGGTTACCTAGAATAGGTTGATGACAGAGTATGAAAATGAAAATTCTAATTAGTCCGTCAGTTAGGTAATAAAAAAATATTAGACACTCATTTTTTTTCATTTTGTTGTATAAGAAAACAATACGTAAATAAAACGAATCAAAGTTTTAGGAGTGGGAGCTAACTACGTCACTTTTGAGTTTAAAATGTACACAAAAGTGACGTCACGCCATGATTCAAATTAAAATGTCGTCGAAAGTATCTGTGTCCGCAAGAAAATAAAAAATACGTATTTAGTGGTTTTAAATAATCCACCATAGGACATTGAAATAAAATTAGTCATCTACTCAATTTTGACATAATTTCCATTCAAAATTTTAGTTCTTAAGACTTGTTGTAAAATTACATTTTAAGATCAAAATTGATTTATATTAGACCATTCTGCCATGCCTTCTGATGGTTTTATCCACTTTTGGCCTACTTAGACATTATTTCACCGAAGCTAACAAAAATGATAAGCCATTTTAGTATACCGTTCACAATTTTGCATACGTTGCTCCCTTGTACCAAGAAGTATCCTCTTGCAGGCGAGTTCCGTGGTGCAGCTGGTCCCGCCGGCGGCGGTGACGGCGCTGGGCGCGCAGTGGGAGTGGGGGCTGGTCTGCGCGGGCACGGCGCACGGCCTGGCGCTCGTCGACGCGCTCGCCGCCGCCGAGCTACTGCACAAGTGCACGCTCAACCCGCACGGTAACGTACACTCCTACTGACCACTACTGGTGTCGCGGGCACGGCGCACGGCCTGGCGCTCGTCGACGCGCTCGCCGCCGCCGAGCTACTGCACAAGTGCACGCTCAACCCGCACGGTAACGTACACTCCTACTGACCACTACTGGTGTCGCGGGCACGGCGCACGGCCTGGCGCTCGTCGACGCGCTCGCCGCCGCGAGCTACTGCACAAGTGCACGCTCAACCCGCACGGTAACGTACACTCCTACTGACCACTACTGGTTGTCGCGGGCACGGCGCACGGCCTGGCGCTCGTCGACGCGCTCGCCGCCGCCGAGCTACTGCACAAGTGCACGCTCAACCCGCACGGTAACGTACACTCCTACTGACCACTACTGGTGTCGCGGGCACGGCGCACGGCCTGGCGCTCGTCGACGCGCTCGCCGCCGCCGAGCTACTGCACAAGTGCACGCTCAACCCGCACGGTAACGTACACTCCTACTGACCACTACTGGTGTCGCGGGCACGGCGCACGGCCTGGCGCTCGTCGACGCGCTCGCCGCCGCCGAGCTACTGCACAAGTGCACGCTCAACCCGCACGGTAACGTACACTCCTACTGACCACTACTGGTGTCGCGGGCACGGCGCACGGCCTGGCGCTCGTCGACGCGCTCGCCGCCGCCGAGCTACTGCACAAGTGCACGCTCAACCCGCACGGTAACGTACACTCCTACTGACCACTACTGGTGTCGCGGGCACGGCGCACGGCCTGGCGCTCGTCGACGCGCTCGCCGCCGCCGAGCTACTGCACAAGTGCACGCTCAACCCGCACGGTAACGTACACTCCTACTGACCACTACTGGTGTCGCGGGCACGGCGCACGGCCTGGCGCTCGTCGACGCGCTCGCCGCCGCCGAGCTACTGCACAAGTGCACGCTCAACCCGCACGGTAACGTACACTCCTACTGACCACTACTGGTGTCGCGGGCACGGCGCACGGCCTGGCGCTCGTCGACGCGCTCGCCGCCGCCGAGCTACTGCACAAGTGCACGCTCAACCCGCACGGTAACGTACACTCCTACTGACCACTACTGGTGTCGCGGGCACCGATTATACCTATGCCAAGCCTATCGTCAAGCTGATTTTAAGCTAACTGATCATATGAAAGATAAAATTTGTAATGATTTATTAATAAACATAAAAGAAAAAGTATTTTTTAGTATTTGGAGTATTGCAAGTTCGTTACCTCAATAAAAAACAATCCTATAGCAATATTTTATCCTCTTCTCCAGATCATTCCGGTGCTGGCGACACGCCTATTTCAAGAAGGAAATCGTTCAAGAAGTCGCTTAGGGAATCATTCAGAAGACTGCGGAAAGGAAGGTCACAGCGACGTCAAACCACCACGTCGAGTCCTACTTCTCCTACACAAGTAAGCACTGTCTATTTTTACACCGCTAGAGGCGCTGGTGTAGTTTTATGGCTTATAGCTTATTGTCTACTTTTTGCGTTAACAAATCACTTACAAAGTTAGATGTTCCTGTACTTAGTTGTCAAGAGTTTCATACCAAAGCTATTTGATAATTATTTGAATACTACTAAACCATGAAATACATTATCAAATAAACCATATACACTTTTAAAATACAATTTAAAAACTTATCCATTAGTCTTATAATTTAAAACTATTTTACTCAAAAAACATTACTCTTCCAGCCAATTCCTAAGAAGCCCGCGGATAAAGCGGCTTCAGATACTGACGCGGAGCTTAAGCCAGTGGAGCGAGCCATCGAGGCCAGGCCGGCTGACGATGGATTCGGGTCTATGGTGCGCTGTCTGTACTTCGCCAGGACATACCTTATTAACAGTAAGTGGAATTATCACTTCAACTATTTTTGTAGCTTTGTTATTAAAATGTGTCATTTGTTATCAAATGCTCCAAGGTATAGAACCGTTAAATATAATGATTATGTCCAAAGTAGGGAGTTAACAAGCAAATAATTTACTTGCAATGGGATTATAACAAAGTAATAAAAAAATGTCATAAGCATTTGAAACGTACTGGTATGGTATGATACTGAATATGATATGAATCGTAACTTTAGCAATAAACTCAAACACTTTTTATGCAGCTCATTTTACAATTTTTCATGTAAAACAAATTTATTTTCCAGCACAAAACTCCACCCCAACTCTATGGGCGGGCACAAACAACGGAACAGTGTACGCGTTCACGATAAGTGTCCCCAACACTAACAAGAGGAAAGACGAACCTGTCACGTGTCAACTCGCCAAGGAAATACAACTCAAACACAGAGCGCCCGTCATTGGCATCACTGTACTTGATGGGGCCGCCGTGCCACTGCCTGATCCGCTCGAGGTAGGTTATAGTAGCATAAGGCTACTTTATACCCCATGAATAGCGTACGGCGCGTCGCGTTCCGCGCGCGCCTCAAAGAGCCATCAGACCACCACAGATGGGGCCCAATAGGGCCGATGCCGATTCGGAGTCGCGGAGAACCTAACGGGTAACCGGGGCTCCGGCTCGACGTGCAGGAGAAGGAACGGGGTGGCTTTTAGTCAGTAAGAGTCTGACACTCCCTTCCGCCTCACCCAGGCGGGAGCAGTCATTCGATGATTTTCCCCCCTTAAAAAAAAAAAAAAAAAAAAAATACCCCATGAGTGGTGTTTATTTACTCTGTTGTATGTTTATTTTATCTGTGCTTTTAACTGGCGAAATTGCAAGAAAACTCCAAATAACTTTGCTCCCTTACTATCAGTTTCGGTCCAAATTAAACCAAAACATTGTTTGAACAGAGAAAAGTAATATATCGAATTCGAAATTCTATACTTTTTGAAGAAGCTGTTTATTTTGTCCAAATCAGCTTTAATTACGAAATTAATATAGATGATCATTAAGGAAACATTATGATTATTTTATAATGTTATTACATGGGACACCCCTATTACATGGGACTCATAACATAAATAGTGAAAAGTGGGTGTTACTTCTATGTGCACCTCTGCCTACCCCTTCGGGGATAAAAGGCGTGATGTTATGTTATTATTGATCTTGTATGACTCAAATTGTAGTAAATAGTTGGCAATGTGAATATCGTGTAGGTGGAGCGCGGCGTGTCCCCGCTGCCGGAGGGCGGCCCGCACCGCGTGCTCATCACGTCGGAGGAACAGTTCAAGGTGTTCACGCTGCCCTCGCTCAAGCCGCACAACAAGTACAAGCTCACCGCGCACGAGGGCGCCCGGGTACGTTATCAATACATTTATATTGCATTTTTTTCAATGCGATATATAATCATGGTTGGGTATTCTTAATCACTCAATGCTGAATAATATGTAAATCCTTTATTTACATTTTCCAAACCATGTCTGCAACTCTTATATCTTCAGAATTTGTAAAGAGTGGATACGCATTTATACCATTTGTAGGTACTAAAACTTCACATTGCTAAATGTTGAAAATAATACGTATGACATTAAGACCGATGATAAATTTATTTCTTTAATGTTAAGAGTAACCAAGAGGCATGAAATTCCAATAATAATAATAACATAAAATGGCAGGTCCGTCGCACAGCGTTCGCGTGGTTCGAGTGCGGGGCGGGCGGCGCCGCGCGGCACCGCGAGTGGTGCCTGCTGTGTCTCACCAACCTCGGCGACTGCCTCGTGCTCAGCCCCGACCTGCGCCGACAGCTCAACGCCGCCGCAGTGCGCAAGGAGGACATCAAGTGACTATTGTTTACATATGTTGACCTATTAACTATTGCAGTAATGGATAAAGGCCTTTTCAAGGCCATATCGCCTCTGAAGATCGAAATTCAGGTGGCCAACTGAAAAAATAATGTTTTAAAAATAGTCAATTTTTTCCAAACATCATTACCTACTCAATTGCTTGCCTAATACTTTTCACGAGGTTCAACCCTAATCGGGTATCCTCGTACGGGCTCGAGCCCTTAAGCATATGCCACGTACATATAGCGATCAAACTAACAACAATATCTGGTTTTGGTATAAAAGTGTTATCTTTATTTCAGTGGTATTTCAAGTTTATGCTTCTCGAAACGTGGCGAAGCTCTCTACTTGCACTCCTCGTCCGAATTACAACGGATTACTTTGTCTGCTACGAAGGTACGTGCTTTTAGAAACTGAACCTTACTCTTCTTAATATAAAACTCAATGATATATTGTGATATTTGCTTTTCTAAATTAAACCTTACACTGTATTACAACTTAATTATGTAGTTTTTGAAACTGTACCTTTTACCACTTAAAATGAAACTCAGTAATTTCTTTTCTGAACTGAACCCTATACCACATAGAATAGAATTCATAATTATCATGTTTTGTTGTGTAGGTAACGATCGCTCAGTGTCACATTATCCTGTCGCCATGGGCCGCGGCACTGCGCGGGGCGGTGGAAGAACCGCCACTAACTAACGGAGAACACAAGGTGAGTAATATATACAAAGGTGATATATGATATGCGAACACTTGATTTTGTATCATAATCTCAGGTAGCTCTAAGTATATTTTTGAATATGAATTCAAGGTTAAGAAAAGATGTTTTTGTAACGTTATTACCATTGTTCTTATCACCCAAAGACTGGTAAAGTAATCCTATACGACTTTGTACACATTTCGTACAAAGCTTCCTCAGATAGTCTTTCCTCAATAGATTTTAAACTTTATTACAAACAATGTAGGTAAAATATAGCTTGACAATCAGCCATCTTCAAAAAGTAGTTAGCAAATGAAGCCGTATTTATAAGATGTTCTAAACATGAAAGTTATTTTAATTGTATATACACTTATTTCCCAGCCGGAGGAGTCGTTAGAAGCCCCCCACGACGTGACGGCGGTGTCGGCGGACATCACGGTGGACTCCGTCCGAGACCACACCAACGCCGCGCCGGACGCTCAGCCTGCCGAGCTTAATATTAACTTACAGGTCGGAAAGAACATGACATTCTAATACTAAGGACCCACCCTTGCTTGCCACTGATCTTATTTCTTACTCTTTCTTTCGTAAGAACCTGACCATATCAACGAAACAAAGAATTAGTTTGAAATGAGCTTATAAAGTAATAGACATGATGCAATTAATATGTTACTTTTTCAGTAGAGCAGGGTTATGTTTACTGTATTATAAATTCAACAATAGCAACTTTACAAAAAAAACTCATGCATGATCATGCATTTAGATCGTATGTAAAATTGATCCTGATTCCTACTGACTTCACTTATTAATATTTCATTAATCTAACTCAATGAACAGAACTCGCAAGTGAACACATCTTCGATGGTAGTAAAAACGACGACGCGCACGATGGTGAACGACACCAACGGTGACGGCACCACCACCACTACCACTACAACCACCACCAACTCCACCAGCGAGAATAGTGAGTATTTATGCCACAAACACACGTAGGACAGATCTTACTCAAATATAATTCTTATTTATTTATTTATCTATCTTCAACAACAAACCTACAGTTGATAGATCCTACCATATTATGTATTCTTTATTTATTTATCTACAACAGACACACCAATGAAAGTTGTCTTAATTGCGTCGGAATTGATTCAGCAATTTTGCTGTTCGAATGTGTGTAACAGAGTAATTTTTATATTTCTATGAATATAATTAATAATATCTATTTCTAGGTATATATAATTATAGATTCTATGTTTTTACCTTCAGAAGTAAACAAAAATTCCTTTTAGTGTCACTTTGAAAATATGTCTCCTTTTATTGTAGTGTCAAAATCACTTTACTTTTTTTTAATTAGTTTTATTCCCAGGATTATAACTTCCCCACCAATAAAAATATGATTTGCATGAAAGCAAACAATACGCTATGAATTGGCTTTCTTTGTATACAAATTTTTATATAATTGTTTATAAAGCAAAGCTTTTGCAGTTCCCTAAAATAATATTTTTATTGTATAATTTGTAATGGTATTGGAAATGAATAATTTCAATGACAAACATTCCGTATGTACGTCTTTTGGTGACGTCGTCTTGCGTTCCTGTCTGATGCAAATGTTTATGTAATTATAAGTTATAAGCATACCAATTATGCTGCTAAATTGTGTCCTCAAATTATTCATTTCTCACCATTGATATAGTGTTAAACTTTACCATAAAATCTTTAAGATATATTTCGCTTCATACACCATTTTATATGTTTATGTTCCATGTTTATCCGTTTCTATGTTTGACGGGCGCTTTGTGTTTTGTTTGTAGTCCTAGAGCACAGTCGCGAGGAAGGAGTCATCACGCGCATCGAGGTATCCCACACTTTGCTTTCATAACTACCTTACCTACAATAACTTCTACGTACCTTGCATGATACTATACCAAGTATTCTAGCAACTTTCTACCAATTATTTAGCTTCATATGCCTCTATTGATAAACCTTATAGATTCCTCTTTCCAGAATTACCCAGTTTCAATCTAAACTAACAATAACTAAATTTAAATTGTGTTTTAACCGACTAACTTACTCTAAGCAATGTTGTGGCGTCCGCTCGTGTGATGTTCGTACAGGGATCATTCACCACCATAGACAAATTTTAGAACAAAGAGTAAAGAATTAAAAACGAGATCGTTTTGGCACTAATCTCCAGTAGACCCTGGTAAACACGCGCGGTCGCCACGAGTTGCCGAGAAGAACGTTCGGTGGTACTCATAAGGCGGTGTTCACACAGACGGGCACGGTGACGGTGCCGGCCGGCACAGACCCGAAGCTGATCCTCGAGATGTTTGACCGGCAGCGCTCCCCCCTCAGCGTGCCCGTGCCGCCGCAGGCCGCCGCCGCAGAAACCAACTAGCGCGCCCGCCGCGCCGCCCGCACTCGCTGCGGTACCGGTCCTAGGCCCGCCACTTGTTTCTATCTAACGTATGACGTATACTGCTGTATCGTTCGCCCGGTATTCAGACCACCGATTCATGACGACGTACCGGTAATTTTATCATTTGACAAAATTGTATTAAGAGTGACAACGGTTAGTTTTACAATTAGTCTAATTTCTAAACGTATTTATAGAGTAAATTTCTTTCTTTGCCTAGACAGCTAAAGGTACTGCCATGAACTAATTCCTTAATAATAAAGTCAATTTGGTTACTCTAGGTATACAAAACTATACCATTGGGGAGCATTTTCTGTACATTTATGTATTAATTCCTTCTTGTTATAAGGTCTATTTGCATTTTATTATCTTAACTCTATAAACTATTATTTACTATTATGTGGCTTGCATGTTTATAATGGCGATTATTTGGATGTAATTTTCTTTGCAATGTTGTGTATTATTTAGTTAAAATATAAATAGATGCTTATTCTGTACTTAACAGTATCACGTGAATTTTCTATTAAATGAGATTATCATATCTATTTTATTGCTGTTAGTTTATATTTGAATATGGCAAGAGAGTGAGGCTTCTGAGCTGTATGTTCACGAGACGCTTGCTGGCGACTGGCGAGCAATCCGTAGCGACAAATATATGGTGAATGTTAAGTTAGTACAAACCCGGAGCGCCATAGCAACGTTTGTTGTATCCAGCAATACTGCAATATAATTGTGGATTGTTTTAAGTAATTTATAGTTAAGAGAACAATGTGAAATTAATATTCTAATTTAGCTCGTTAAGTTAGTATTTGGAACATTCGGAGTGAATGTGATGTGCCTATTTATTTCTTTCTTAATATAATAAAGATTGTATCTAGGTGATAGAATAGAAAAGTTTTTGACAATTAGTAATGACTAGAATATATTTTATTATGAATAGCATTTAGATTTTCCACAACAAGTTGGAGTAAACATTTTTATTGCCAATTTTATAATTATTAATATTATGAAGAAAATTGTTGTATTACCTTGCAGTGTTTCACTTGAATTGTATATTCAGTAAATATTAATTTTAATAAATTATAATGTTGTACGAATGAAAGTTTTATGCAATATTTTTTTAGCTTTTTAAACGCGTTTTTGCATTTTATGTAACCAGTTTGCAATTTTATTTTGTGCCTATCTTAATTAGGATGTCGTGTTATGTTATTGAAGCAATGGCAGCTAGCTGTATGAGAACGTATTTGAGCACATCTTTACTACACATCACAAGTCGTGATATAAGGGGATTGATTTATTGTTTTAGACATATATTTTATTCATAGATATAAGTTAATGTGCCTGTCTTTTTTTGGTAAACGTTGGGCTGTTTCTGGCCCATGTCGACATAGTAACATTTACTGTAGGAAGCGTCAAGGGTACTCGTATGGCGTCCAAAATGCTTCTATTTATAGTATATACAAATTTTCTCCTTATACTGTGGCATTTTATTAAATTTGATACGAAGTTAGCAATTTGTATCCAACAAGAAAATAAAAGCTAAGACTATGATATTGTGTTTTTCATTGAATACTCGCCGATTCCCGATTACTTGAATGTATAATAACGATTAAATTATAAAATATCAACCTATTGTTGAGAAATATCAATATTAACCGACTCTACCAAGGAATTTAGCTTAAGAACTCTGGTAGTTGCGTCTGGAACTACTCTTCATCAATGGGGCAGTCAAGTATATACAGATAGATATATTCAGAAGGGTTCATGCTAAAATGAAATTCATTTAAAATCAGTAACTAGGATATACACTGATCTGCTTCAAGTTCAAAATGAGATTCACCACCCGCAATGTTATAAATACCAATCTTTTTGAATCGACCAACGATAAAGGCATTATCAATCGACATATTTGAAAACTGATAAGGCAATATTTGTTTTAATAGAACGATTAATCGGATAATCATTCGATTATTTTTATATTTAGATATTTTATCGTGTGGCAATAAAACTGACACATGACATGAAATGCTGATGTCACACATAAATGTCATTTGTCAAAAGAAGTACGTGAAACGTCAAGTTGTCAAATGTTTTGAAAATAAATAATTCTATTGAGATTTTATAAATTTAATTCAATAAATAATAAAGATAACATGGACCTGTGCAGGGTCTGTCTTGGACCTAAACCCAATAGGGATATATTTTCCAAGTCACAAAAGACGAGAAGTGACAATAAAAGTTTTGCCGAGATTTTTATGTTTTGTTTCGACATACAGGTAAACAACGCCTTGTTTGATTGCTACACTCGTGTCCTATTTTCCACAATGTCTAAATGATATATTTCATCTCTTAGGTTGATGAGGACTCAAAAATCAGTACAAAAATATGTATAAAATGTTACAGTAAAGTTAGAACTTATTATAACTTTAAATGCCTAGCTGTAAAAAGTGATGCTTACTTAAAACAATTACACGAGGAAAGCATTGTTAAAAATGAAGTATTTTTAAGAGATGATGATGATGATATAAAGAATGGACATGAACAGCCATCATCACCATTGAGTAATGACACTCAGGAACCAGAGGTGATAGTGAAGGATGAACCAAAGGACGAAATTCTTTTTAAAAATGGGGACGACTCTCATGATTATGACGACGACAACGTGTTGTTAAGTGTAATCAAGAATTTAAAGTATGAATATGTTGAAGATGATAGTAAAGAAGGTATTTATTTATTTTATGTATAAGTATCAATCTTTTTGTTATAATAACTAGGGGTATTATTTTGCCATAGTTAATTCTAAATAGAAACTGAAAACATTCTGATTTCAATTTTAAGCAGTGGTTCCCAGCTGGTGGACCGTCCAAAATGAAAAGGTGTGAAACCCCTGATTTAAAATATAAATAGTATAAGTGGGTACATGGCACACACTTTTAGTTCCCAGAGCAGCTGAAAATGTTTTTATATATTTTCTATAACATCATAACTTCATTCAACACAAAAAATGAGTTTCTAAATTATATAATTATTTGGCCAATGTGGCTTCATCTTCTCTTCTCTGCCCTACTAATTCTGTATTTGGTTTCAAGAACAACCACTAAAGAAAAAAAAGAAAAAGAAAGATGTTGTTGTTAAGAGTAGCTCGGATCCTGTTAGACAAATATGTGAAGAATGTGGCAAAGCAGTGAAGGACCTGAAGGCTCACTCGTACCTCCACATGCCAGTGTCCTGCCGCAAACGTTTCAAATGCAAGAGCTGTGACAAAGTCTTCTCCAGCCACAGTGCACGAAACAAACACAACAAGATAAAACATTTAGGATTAAAAAAGCAATGTGAGATATGTAATAAAAGTAAGTAATTTACAGAAAATAATAATAATATATATTTTTTAGTTTTCTTGATGATTGATAAGATAATACATAAGTTCAACCCGCATTTTATGATGTGATTGGTATAAATTGACAACACGGTAAGTGCGGTGGTTAGGCAACAGGCTGCCACGCAACGCGTCGCGGGTTCGATTCCCGCACGGAGCAGCTCTTTGTGTGATGCACAAAATTGTTGTTCCAGGTCTGGGTGTCATGTGTATGTGAACTTGTATGTTAGTAAACGCACCCACGACACAGGAGAAAATCCTAGAGTGGGGATTGCCCCACACTAGGATTTTTATAGTATCATTATTAATATACTATGGCAATACTATGGCAACATTAGAATATAGGCTACTTTGGGGAAAACCAAAAAATCTTATAAGGATTTCCATGCACACAAGTAGGAGTTTGATACCACTCACCTAGTACAATGAGGCCTTATGAGGCCTATCGTATTTCTACTCATTAGATGGCGCTAGCGTGCCCTCTCATTCTGCGTCCAATAGGGTATTAGCTAGTGTCACACCTTAATTGGCTATTTATTATTTGACAGCTGCAGTAATTGGCCAAAAGTCCCCTTCCTACACAATGTTCGACCCCATTCAGAGCTGTCCTATTAGCTAAGAAGTTCAAATCTTCACATTGAACTTAGAAGACAAAACAATATTTCCTTAGAAGTTTATAATTGCTCTTTCTTAGAAGGTTATGACTGCCTCATTGGCCGAGTGGTCGCAAGTGCGACTGCCGGGCAAGGGGTCTCGGGTTCGATTCCCGGGCCGGGCAAAGTATTACTGGCTTTTTCAAAAAATTCACAGTAGTAGCACGGAGTCTGGAATTGTGCCTGGTATATGGCAATAGGCTCACGCCCTATTACATGGGACTCATAACATAAATAGTGAAAGTGGGTGTTACATTGCATAATGTACACCTCTGCCTAACCCTTCGGGGATTAAAGGCGTGATGTTATATTATGTTATGTTAAGTTTATAATTCTTAATTTACCTACTTATTTAATTAATCTCATTGTATTTGACAGCGGTCACACATCTCAAACAGCACATACGCCTGATACACAATCGCTCCTCGCTACCGTTCTACTGCGTGTCCTGTGGTCGCAGGTTCATTTCCAAGTCTACGCTAGACCTGCACATGACGTCACACACCAGAGATCGCCCCTTCCCCTGTACGGAATGCGATAAAAAGTTTTCTTGTAAACAAAGAATGCTTATTCATAAGTAAGTAAAAAAACTATATAATATAAAATATTATAAAAAATACATTATTTTTACCCGACTGTACAAAAGATATTGTGTGTCTCGTTTGTCTTTCGTATTTTATTTTCAATTTTTAAGTACATACGTCATACATTTTATTCAAATCAAAAGGATTAACTCATTTAACACTCACTTTTTACTATCATTAATTGAGTCATATGCAATTCTAGGCTCTATGCGACTACCAGAAATATAAAAAATGTAAATGTGTAATAAGAATCTAATAAGATCTAGAAAATCTAAATCTAAACCCAATTGGGGAATTGCGTACTTGCCAACTAGTCAAATTCAATACTTTTTTTGAATTGTCAAAAACGACACTTTTCTATGAATTTTGTACGAGATTGTATATTGTGACGTCACTTTTTTGAGCGTTAAACAGCATACTTATATCTTGCAAATTTACTTTAAAAATACTAAAATTAAGTTGGTCATAAAATCAATTAATGAAAGTGTGATTATTTTTTAATATTTTATTGTATTCAACAGACGAAATAATTTATTTTTGATTAACGCTAGTACCCAATTGTTACTTTTTTCAGTTGTGATTTGGAAAAGGTACTTATGTAAAAATCGTGAAATAATTTTTTACCAATCAATTTGAGATTTTGTACTCAGCTTGTGCAATACGTTTGAAAAACTAACAGTTGTTACTTTAATTAGTGAATTAATGTGTGCATTATTTATAAATTGATACATTTTATTTCAGGCGTCAAGTACACGACAAGGAAAAGACGCACCTATGTCAATTATGTTCTAAGAGCTTCTTCAAGAAATATCATTTACAAGTACATTTAAGGTAAGATTACAAAATAGGTTCCACAGATTTGCAACTTTAATAATATGAGCAATAGACTTGAAAATGGTATATACCTAAGGCTGGTTTTAGAGTCGCGCTGACTGCACGCTGACCGTCAGCGCTGACAGCCAAAATGTATGAACTTCTAGGTAGCGTTTTTGAATGACGCGTAGCTATCAGCGCGCATGGTTCCTAGAAGATCACATGGCTCGGTTATCAGCGCCGACGGTCAGCGTGCAGTCAGCGCGACACTAAAACTAGCCTAAATAACACTATTCACGTCGCTATTTTATACTGTCTTTATTCTATAGGAGCCATTCCAAAGAGAAGCCGTATGAATGTCCAGAATGTGGCAAATTTTTCTCCACCACTACGATCCTCAAGAGTCACCGAGAGATCCATTCAGAGGAGAAAGCCTTTAATTGCACTCTCTGCAGTATGTCCTTCAAAAAAAGGAAGTGAGTAAACTTTGCATTAACCTTCTAGCACTATCTACACTTGGGAGCAAACAAACGGAGCCACTAGCATATTTTCTTTTCCATTTCTTGATAAATATTTTCTGATACAAGTATTTTATTAATTGGTAACGTATGTAGTAAAAAACGTAATTTAGTTACCTTTAAAATGAGAGCATTTTGTTGTAAAAAGATTTTTTATAGAAGGTTCTATAAAATAAAAATTAAAAAACGTTAGCGGCTGTTTTTTTTGCACACAAGTGTATTACCATCGTCATCTATTGGTTTGTTGGCGGGATGAGGGGTGGCCATAATCCCTAGGTTATGCGGAAACCTTGGGGATAATAGGTCACGAAATTTTAAAATATGCTCGCACCTCACATATCATCTCACGCCCATACGTAACTCCTACTTAAAGTTCTAGGTGTAAAAATAAATAGTTCATTAATTGGTTTCTTGTTAATCGACTTCCATTACTAATGGTTAAAGTACGAGTACTGAATTAAAAATATCTAAGTCAGTACTAATTTCATCCTTCTACCGTCAGCTACCTAAATGTCCACATGGTCAGTCACACCAAGGTGAAGCGCTACCCTTGTCAGTACTGCGGCATCAAGTTCGGACGGTCAGATCATCGCAAGCGGCACGAGTACACAGCACACGAGAAGAATTTCATCAGCGCCTAACAAGGACTAAGTTACACCACTTTCACAGTATTCTAAGGAATATTTTTCGCCGGTAACGCCATCTATATAGTGTAATTTTACATATGGTACAAGTTTAGAAGTTTTGTAAAAGTTAAGGATACTAGCGGGATTTAACTCTTTGAGTACCGTCCTATTGTTCTTTAATTGTGTCTATAATGACGGTATTCAAAGAGTTAAACGGCTTCCTCAATCATCGTACTTACCTATGAACACTTTCGTCATGAACTGTTGCGTTCGTTCTGCTCAAGTCTAGGCAAACGGGCATGTTCTATTCTATGTGACATGAGCTATTTTACCTACTTAACATTTACAAAACTAGTTATATATATCGTTTGTTTCTTCGTACTGTATTCCTACAAGCCTATGTCTACTATACCTAGCAGTTTGAATCTATGAAAACTTTGTATTTACGTTTTTGCAAACGTTGTATCTTTAACTTACGAACCTTCTTTATTTATATCGGTGCGTCCAAATCTAGTGGCTCATTAGCTAAATGTGAACGCACCGTGTCATATACAGTTTTAATTTAGTTTACAAAGGTGCTCTAAGTTCAAAGTCGTGATTGACCAGCGCCATAGCGTCTTTATCTCGAAAATGGTTGGACCAATTCGGTTAAAATTGTTGAATACGAATAACAATAATCAATTGGAAACTAAATTATTATTGATGACTATTTTCTATATTATGGAAAAGATAAATTATTTTATTTGTTTGTTTAGATTGTTATAAATATTATAGTTTTAAAATTCGTTATTTGTTGTTGTAAATCTGGTAGATATTTGTTAATTTAGATCCGTCTTGGTAACTGTGGCGTTAAAATTTTGATGTGGCGACATACTAATACGGTAGTGACAGGTAGTCGAAATTCACTACTTTTATTAAAATGTCCAAAACGATACTTTTCTATGAATTTTGTATTGGATCGCAACTTATGACGTCATTATATTTCTGCGTCAAATAGCATACTTATTTCCATAAAATTAGCGAGAAAATATCCAAACGTAGGTAAATTGTCAAATCAATGGATGAGAGTATGATTATTTTTTAATTATCTATTGCTTTGAGAAGTTGATACAATTTCGATAGTAGCCTATCAATCAAATAGCCATGAAGTAAGCAACATAACTTGCAATGCACTTCAGACTGCATCTGAGAGGTTGTGTTATATTTTTTTACTATTTACTATTGTTCTAATTAATGGATTTTATTCCTGTGATGGGTAGACCAACCAGAATGGCTTTAAAACATTCGTCCTTGGTGTGGTTATACTATTACTTTAAAACCGTTAAATAAATATATGCTTGAAGTACATATTGTTTGAAGATAAGTAATGTTGGGTTATATACAAATCGTTTGACTTTTATTTATGTTATAAAAATAAAATCTATGAGATTTATAAACATTTTTGTTTTTTTCCAAATAAGGAATTTCCTGATCGAAATTTCTTAGATACTAACCTTCAGCATCACATATCGTGGAATACGTTATTTTACAACTAATCAAATTCAATACTTTTATCGAAACGTCAAAAATTATATTGTTATATGAATTTTATACCAAAAACTAACTTATGACGTCATCATATTTTCGAGTCAAATAACAAACTTATTTCTGAAAAAATTGCTAGAATAAATCGAAAATTAGTAAATCGTCAAATATATGAATGAAATTGTAATTATTTTAAGAACATTTAATTGGATTAAAAATCAAAATTATTTATTTTTGACCCAGGAAAATACCCAATTGTATCCCAATTTTCGCAAACCGCCTTCTTTTGAGAAATAGACGCTGCTTTAGTAATTTAAAACACAGTTTATTACACAACACATATCACACAAACACAATAAAGATTAAAAATTGAGAGTAGGTCAATAACTGGATTCAAGTCTGCTCTTGCAGTTCTTCAAGTTGGTTGCCCTGCTCCTCAGGAAGGATTCCTATTTCTGCCTTGGCGGCATCAAGAATGTCTTGATCAGTCATGACGAAACCTCTGTCCATGAAGCTACAGGTATCGGAGGCAGCTAGGCCGGGACTCCCTCCTGGAGAGAATATGTTCAATGTGTTGAATATACATTCAAGCTTATCCTCAAGGTGTGGATACTCGTTCTCCAGCACTCCCACAATGTATCGCAGACGTTCATTCAACTTCCTCGCTTGGGCGTGGTCTGCTAAAACATGGTCTTTCGGCTTCTTACAGCGGACTGACTGCCGCTTTATAGCAGTAGCAAGCTCAGTCCCGAAGCGTTGCGCTCGGACTACGCGTTCAAGGAGCTGCGAAATAGGGAAATAGTCATTTTAGTAAATCAGATGGAGTTGGGCACCAATTTTCTAAAGCAATAACGATCTAGTCTAGTCTTAGAATAGAAGTAGTTGGAATGGTTTGTGAAATGAAATGAAATTATTGACACTTCAACTCGTTACCAACAACTACACTGCATGTACACCGACACTCACCCAATGTTTGGTCCGCTCAGTGGCCATGGTCTCCTTGATGATCTCCGCGACGCGTTCCTCCATCTGCGAGTTCTTGGCGTTGGCCTCGGCTAGCTCGCGGTCGAGACGCTCCTGGTCCTTCATCAATTGCTCCATTTGAGCCTTCGCGTCTGCTATTTCCTGGAACCAAGATAATACCATTCATTACAGGTTAGGTAATTGAAAAAAGTTGTTAAATGCTCAGGTACTACCACTACCTACGTCTAGCTTAAGTTGAAGTTATAAAGTCATACCCGCGCGGACATAAAGCCAAGGATACACTAGGGGACAAAAGTCCCACGACATGTATTGGCGACATGTCGTGTGAAGTCGACCGACTTCATCTGACATATGGCGACATCGCGCGAGTAGGAGACCTGTGTCACGCCATGTTGCCAGAGATATCGAGCGAAGTCCTGGTTGTTTCTATATCAAGACTTGCATTCAATTTAATTAAACTTAGCTTTTAAAAAATGAGAGCTCTAACCAGAACTTAACTATTTTTCTTAATAATTATTAAAGTTACCTTAGTAACTCGGTTCACATCAGCTTTAGCAAGTCTCAATTTGTGATGGTAAGTAGACTGCGAAGTGTTGGAACCTCCATGTGACTTCTCGACGGCTGCAGCAGCCCTCGTTTTCTCCATGGCGGTGTCTCGACGTGTCACGAAGAGCGCCAAGTCATCAGCCAGCTTCTCACTGGTGCGACGGAGTTGTTCTCGACGGACCTAAGCGGGAAATATCGGATAAATCTGGAGGAAAGTATCATCGATGGAGTTTAAGCCGCCTAGAGCTTGTTTATGTACGTTAAAAAACTGTTTTCCATTTTTTCCTACTTGTACTAACCTCCATCCTGTGTATTTCAGCCCTCATCTGTCCTATTTCACCACTCAGCGACTTTGCAGCCGTCATGCTTTTCTTCAGTTCTACTGCTAATATTCCCTGAAAACGAAAAATATACAAGATAAAAAAGGAATATCCACCATGAAAATATATAGTTGTCGATCATTTATATTGATGATAGTACCAACCTTCCTCTGCCAAATGAGTGCCTCCCTCTGAACTCGATCTAATTCTTGTGTGAGATTCATCTTCTCTTTGTCCAACTGCTCTATTTCATCTTCAAGTTGGATTATTTCTGTTTCGGCATCCTGTGAAAGCAACCAACCATGTAGATAGAAAGAAATATTAAAGCAAAGCTTAGGTATCACATACATAACATAACAAACACCTCGCCTTTTATCCCCGAAGGGATATCCAGAGGTGCACATTACGGCACTTAACGCCACTGTACAATATAACAACCACTCGCTATTTATGTTATGAGTCCCGTGAGGGTGAGCCTATTGTCATATCCCGGGCGCAATTCCAGACGCCGTGCTAGTAGTGAGATTTTTTTAAAACCTTAACTGCCAATGCTTAGGTATCATGAAGTTAATAATATTAGTTAACCTCGATCTCCAGGTCGCCATCCGAGCGTAAATATTTATAACAAACTCTGAAAATGATTGTTGAGTTTGTAGTAGAAGTCCGTAGTCCAGCAGTGGACCACCAAAGATGGGGCCCAATAGGGCCGATGCCCGATACGGAGCCGCGAAAGGCCTAACGGGTTGCCGGGGCTCCGGCTCAAAGAGCAGGAGTAGGAACGGGGTGGTTTTTAGTCAGTAAGAGCCTGACACTCCCTCTCGCCTTCCCCAAGGCGGGAGAAGCCACGGGCTATGTATTATGTCAATTGTAAATAAAAAAAATGATATCATACGAGTACCATGGCTATGCCGTGTAACTTGTAGCCGGTTTCATTTCCGCACGGAGCAACTCTATGTGAACCACAGATTATTGTTCCGGGTCTGGGTGTCATGTGTATGTGATATTGTATATTTGTAAACGCACCCGCGACACAAGAGAAATCTTAGTGTAGGGCAACGTTTAAAAATACAAACCAACCCTAACAAGATCGAAATAAAAAAAAATATGATAATCATACCTCGCTTTAGAAAAACATATATATATATATATACCAAATATTGTCATATGTAACCGTCCATTCATCTCACGGTGTTTATTTCGCAATTACCTTGAGATTAGCAGCATATTCGTGTGATATGGCGACGTTGCTTCTCTGAGCGTGTTCGTTCCTCTCGGTGGCGTCCTTGCGCGTCCGCTCCAGTACCTCAAGTCTCCCGCGCAAGGTCCGCAGCGAGCGCTCCACGCGGTTCCGGTCTGCTACCACCGTGTCGGACTCCGCTTGGATACGCATTATTTTTTGCTCACAGATTTGGATCTCTGTAAAAGAGAGGCATTTAGGTTAAAATGGATTTTGGTTCCCTAACGTGGGTAGGTTTGGAAATACTTTCTATTATTGCATCCCCTTTTTACATTGCTATTTACATTGCTATTCTCGTAAGAATAAAGTTGCAGCACAATTGTGGTGCACGTTTACATTTTACTCTATTTAATTATTTCTAATAGCTCTATTTCGGTCTTTACCCTGAAAGGTGTGAGTTCATGACTAAATACATAGATATACATATTTTTGTTTGCTACATTTAAGTTAAACTTTCCACTTGGAATAATTTTATAGGATAATAATTTGAAAGTTTCTGAATTAAATTTAAAGGAACATGATTGCTAACGTTTATTAATAAGGTTGATGTCTGTGACCATGACATGGTGCTGGTCTGCCAGTTTGACGACGTGGCCCTGCTGCCGCAGCCACTCGTGCTGCATCACCTCCGTACGCTCCCGCAGACACTTGATCTGTTTCTCCAGACCCTCGATACGACGCTCTTGGGGAGACTTCATCTGTAGTGGAATTATTTGCGTTTAAATGTTACATTTAACACAGCAGCGTTTACAAAGTTCTGCGTCATTGTAAAGCACGAGGTCTCGAGTCTTTATGGATTGTATGACAATGTTTAATTTATAATCCCATACACGAGCAGACGGATCATCTAATGGTAAACAATCGGCGCCGCCCATAAACATCCGGAACACCAGAGGCATTACAAGAGCGTTACCGGCCTCTTGGGGATTAGAAATTTGAGGATTGTTGGGGATTGCGAAGAGGTGGGAGGATAATTGGGCCTCCGGTAATCTCACTCACACGACGAAACACAACGCAAGCGTTGTTTCACGTTTTCTGTGAGGAAGTAATATCACTCCGGTCGTGCCGGCCCATTTGTACACAAGCATGGCTCTCCCGCACTTAATCACAAAAGATTAATAACGTAACTGAAGTGCCTTAAATGCTTTGTCCATCTGTCTACCTCTTCAGTCAACAACAAACGTTACATCATCACATTATTTTACACTCACATCAAATATCTCCTTCAATGCGATAAATTTCTTGGTGACGATATCCTGCTCCCTCTGCTTCCTCGTCAGGACCGACAGCTTGTTATCATACTCAGCCTGCAGCAGATCAATCTCTTGCTCCTTCTGTTTCATCAGAGCTTCGGTCTCTTCCAGCACCGCTGCGTTCTTCGCTTGACGGTTTCGCATTATCTCGATTTCTAAGAGTATGCGAGCGTGCTGGTTCTCCATTGACATTAGGGATATTTCCTGAGAATGAAAATCCCGTTATGTTAATTAATGTTCCTATTTACGATGAAGACGTATAAATTAGTTGTAAGTTGTAATCATTAAAACGAACGTACCTACATTAGCATTACATCTATTATATTAGAAGATTCATATCATCACCTGTTTCCTTGCCACCTCCCTCATCTTCCTAATCCCATTGGCCATGGACTCCACAGCCTTGTCATTGAGTAGGCACTCCTGCAGGTTCAACAGGATCTCATTCTCCATCTTTAGCTTATACTCCAACCTTCTATCCAGTTCCTTCTCCGTGCTTTTTAATATATTCCGCATTGTTTGGTTCTCCTGGAAAATTAAGGGACAATAGATTCTACTTCGAGTTTACTAACAAATATTCATAAAATGAGTTATTTGATTGCTTTTTTGAACCAAGACGAATTTGGACAAGCGTTAATGCATTGATTTCTTTAGTGTAAAATGGTGTTTCTTTTCTTTATTTTAGAGTCATATGGTGATGGCTACATACAGATTTAATCATCTCTTGATCCCGTTCTGTCATTTCTATAGACTCAGTCAATTCTTGGATAAGCGTTTCTAGGTTCTGCCGCTTAGCGTACTCCGTATCATCTGTAAAGAATAAACTTTGTAGATCGATCATTAGACCCGATAAAAGACTATTTATAGTTATTTCATTTACATTGGTAATCGCGAGAGCCATAGGTCGTGGCAAGTCTTTAAATCGCGGGATGCCATTGAATAGGTACGAATGGCGAGTTGGTGTTCGGCGTGGAGAACTAAGCATTAGGCAAACCCGTTGAGTATTAGTAAAAACCTAACAATTCTATTTATAGATATTTTTAGAAGTTAGAACTGAGGGGTGCTATAAAGTTTTTTCAATCAACACAAGCAAGACCAAGGTATAAATAAGGGCAGTAGATGTATTGTAACTTTCGTGAGACATACTAAATAAATTATTATGTTTTCGGCTTACTCACGTAATAATTTGACGAGGAACTCGACTAGTTTCAAGCCATGCTAGAGGCTCATATTCATGAGCAGCATTTCGCGACCCGTGACGCGGCAACTGTCGCGCTGCTACTCAGCTACTAGTCGAATTCCTCGTCAAATTATTACGTGAGTAAGCCGAAAACATAATAATTTAAGGGCAGTAGTATTACAGAAGGCACTCACGAATTTTAGTAGCGTGTTCGATGTCGTAGATGAGCTTGTCCTTGTTGAGGGCTATCTCCTTGCCCTTGTTCATCTCCTCCATCACAACCTTCTTGGTTATGTCCAAAGAGTTTATTAGCGTGCGGTAGTTGTCTTGCAAAGTTCTGCGTGATTTAAGAACACATAATAAATTAAGGCTATGTAATTTTGTATTAATTTACTAAGTTCGATTCAAATTTTCACTGGCGCGTTGACTAAGTATAATATAGACAGATTTACAAATATCTTCCTTTTTCATTAATTGTGGTTATTTTCATAAAAGCGATATTCTTCGACGCTTGCTCGTGAGTTTGATAAAAACCCAATAAAAGCACACTAACTGGTAATCATCTCGGACGGAGTCGTAGACCTTGTCACGTTGCGTGATGTTCACAATGACGGAGTTCCACAGGGAGACCAGGCGACGCTTGTCCAGTTCCAAGTCTTCCAGTTCAGCTGCATATGCTGTAACCTGTCGAAAGAGAAGTTTAATCTACATTGTTTTAAAGAAAGAATGGTAGAAAAACCATTTCCAGAAGCATTCCCAAGAAGAAAGTTACAAAATTACAAACCTTAAACAATTGCTTACAAACAATCTATAGCCAATTATTTATTTTATTTATTTAAATAGGTATACCGACAGCTTCTATATACATAGTATTAAGTGATAATGAAAGTAACAATAAGTATTTAGGCTTATACAGTCGCCAATTATAGGTTAACCAACATTTAATTACTTAAGTGATAATAAAAACTATAGATACAAAAATGAACGAGAACAATATAATTTTAGTTAATAAAAAAACTACTACTAACGAAATTAACATTCTTATTTTAGGGAACATAAAATTAAAGACTTAATAGGACTTTAAAAACCTTAGTTATAACAAAATTAAACATTTAGCCTAGATTAGGTATCACGAAACAAAATTTGAACCACCAAACTTATCATGCCATTTGTTAAACAAATCACAAATACAAGTTGTTTTTCCAAAAACAGTTTTGAAAACTTACTCTATCGTTAACTTTCTCCATCTCCGAGTTCTTGATCTCTAGCTGTTTCTTGAACATCTCCAGCTTGGACTCCAGCTTCCAGACCTCATTGCTCAACCCGAACAGAAACATATCCTGCGAAAAGCAGATAAAACGCCTTATGTGCCATTTTGTAATCAAATTGTATACATTAAAGACTTAATAAATAAATAACGTAACATAACATCACGCCTTTTATCCCCGAAGGGGTAGGCAGAGGTGTACATCACGGCACTTAATGCCACTGTACAATGTAACACCCACTTTTCACTATTTATGTTATGAGACCCATGTAATAGGGCCTATTGCCATATACCGGGCACAATTCCAGACTCCGTGCTACTGAGACAAGACAAATAAATAAATAGAAAACTGGCTAAGTTGTTTTATCTATCTTCTTCTTATTGATGTATGTGAGATCTAGAATCTGTAGTAACCACATTTTGCTACGGGCCCCGCGCAAAAGGAAGACCAGTAATATCTTAACCTCCTATTCCGCCGTATCGTACCTTTTGTGTGAAATTTAAAACATTGAAGGCACATCAATACTGTTTACCTACCAGATCATGTGTGTATCAAATGCATGTGTAACTATATAACAAATCACCATCTGTGCCCAAACAAAGAACAAGTATTTGTAGCAAGGTTCATCTTACCCTTTCGGAATGGACATGTTGCTACCTTGTTTTATTACTTCCTTTTATTTATTTTTTTGTTGATTTATTTATTGTTCATCTTGTATTTACTAATTTTTTCTGTGTATTTGGTGCATCATGCCATTAGGCGTATAAGTTTTTTTTTATTATATTTTTTGTTCTAACCAGCCGCCTTTTCTCAGCAGCGATAGCTCGCTTCTCAGCCCTCATCTTGTCAGACATGCGCTGGCTGACAGTCAGGTCGGAGTCCGTCTCGTTCCGCCACGACTCCAACTGCTGGCACAACGCATTCAGTGCTTCCATCTCTTCTGTGGTTTCACGTTCTGGATACGTACAAAATATATGAATGAGGAAAGGTGTTTTGTTAAAAGAATATTGTAACGTTTATGTGTTCTTCTTTGAAATCCCATTGGCATACTTTACACTCTTATTTGTATTACTTATATCAATATTTCGTTAGTTCAGAGGAACTTTAATATTTAATTGTAATCTAAAGATTTTTAAAAAATAAATCACCCTTTCAGCCATTGAAAAATGCTGTGACGTTATAAGTTTCGATTTTATAAAAAATTAAGGAAAAAACTACATTTAAAAGAACCAACTTCAACCTCTTCTTTTTTGAAGTTGGTTAATTAATATAGGTACTTAAACTTTCTCCTAAGTATAAAAAACTCTTTTTTGCAAACCGCATCAAAATCGGTTCAGCTAATTGCGAGACAATCGTGCACAAACATACATACATACATACTGGCCATATTGAGATCCTCTTTTTTTAAAGTCGGTTATAAAACAAATTTTCAACATTTTGTAAATGGTTTGACATGGCGGGAACAACCTTCTATATTTAAAATAAACGGTAACTAATTAGCCAATTGATGGTTAAGGTCCAAATCAAACATCCGCCTACCTCTAATTATATCTTCATCCAGCTTTGCCTTTACTTTCTTATGAGCCTCCTGTGCCTCGCGGGCTCGCTTCTCAGCTGCTTCGCGTTCTAGCGTGCGCTGTGCTAGCGAAGCTTCGTATTCTTCTATAAGTATCTACATCAACGAATTATGATTAAAAGTTTTCAAGGTAGGTTTTAATCTCACAGAATTAGCTATAGATAGAACTACGATATATCTGAATACTTCAAATTAGAATCGTTTAGATACTTCAAATTAAATACGAGGAAAATTCAAAACTTAAATCTTACATGTCTTATTTTAAGTAGCTACAATCTTTAGTCAAACAGATATGGATCAAGTACCTAACATAAATTGTAAAGCACGTATTATAGATTAGCTACAAATATATTGATTCTCGCCCGCTTCTGAAGCATAAGGGCACAACCATACAAGTTCGAAACCTGGCAAGTACCAATGTTACATTTAAGTTTATTAATAGGTACTGTATGTACCCTTTGCGAGTTGGTGTCATGGTCACTCTTGTAGATGGCTTCCAAGTCCTTATCATATTCCTGCTTTTGCTGCTTTAATTCTTCACGCTGTAAATATAAAGAACATTAATATCAGTAATATTTTAATATTAAAAGAATGATTGACCAGGGCGCTTACTCTTGAATCCAATTCCGATCGATCGACATTGTTAAATTTCGTACTCTTGAGTTGCAACACTAGCGCCCCTTACATCCGTATTGTGTGGATATTTCATGAACTAAATAGTATTGAGTTTGGCTTTATAGTCGTAATGCTATTTTAACAGCTACGATAAGGGTTGTATAGTTTTGACATTGCAATTTGCATACCTAATTATTGAGATTTTATTGGATTGAAATTGCATTGATATTGGTTTCAAGAGTAAGCACCCTGAACCTAATTAAGTTCAGTTTTAACTTTAAAGTGAATTAGAAAATAACTTTGCATTTGCATGCATGCCAATTCTCATTTAGAGAATTCATGAGAACAATTCAAGTACTCCAGGTTACGTATCAACGTTTCATTCGTCTTTCTTCTAAAATCCAATTTGAATTAGTACTTAGAGCGTTTTAATTTTTTACAGGATAAGCCGGTAAACGAGCGGACGGATCACCTGATGGTAGGCAATCGCGTCGCCCAAGGACACCTGGAACACCAGAGCCGTTACAAGTGCGTTGCCTGCCTTTTAGGAATTAGGAGTTTGAGGATTGTTTGGGATTCAGGAATTGGGGAGATTGGGGGCCACCGGTAACCTCACTTACACGACGAAACACAACGGAAGCGTTGCTTCACGTCAGTTTTCATTGAGGCCGTGGTATTACTCCGGTCGAGCCGGCCCATTCATGCCGAATCATGGCACACACTCACGCCACACTTAACACTTTCTACCGAAAATCAATTACCTACCAGTGGATGTATTCACAAAATAGATTTCTCCATTATAAAACCAACTTACAAGGTTGAGAATCTGTTCTTCAGCGAGTGCGTTCTCCTTGATGAGGAACTGTTTGAGGGTCTCCTGGAACTTCTGCATCAGAGGATGCGTTGCCTCCAGCACCGCTGGCATCGCATCTATTCCGCGATTGCTGCGCCATCTGATAAAGACAAAAAATAGTATTTTATCAGCAAAATTTTTAAGAAATAAGTATACTGTTTGATGTTAAAAAACGTGACGTCACTATACACAATCTCGTACAAAATTCATACAAAACTTTCGTATTTGACAGTTCGAAAAAAGTATTGAATATGACTAGTTTGCAAGTACCCAATTGTAGATTTCGAATCGAATGAGATTATCTTACCAGGCAAAAAGAACTTTTGGTCTAAGTACGTACATATCACAGTTTGGAAATTGTCTCTGAAAATTAGAATGATAATAATAGAGATGCCCTTTTTCAGTCCTTACTTGTAATGGTATAATGGTGACATATTATATGCAAAAATGGGCAAGTACATACTTAGTGCGATTTAATATTTACTAAACACAATATATATAGAAAATTTAAACTATTATAAAACTCAGATTCAATTAGATACGAACTCGTCATAAGCTTCTCGGCTGACCATATTGCAGCGGCACTGGTCGATGGGACACCCGCAGCATGGACAGTCTCCTGCCCCAGCCGTCGCCGGGTCACATTCACAGGTCGGCTCCTGGAGACATAAATATTATAATAATTATAGTGGCTAATACGGTCAATATGGCCTCGTTGGTGGACTTGGGTAAAGTATTGTTGGGGTTTTCAATTTCGTTAGTCGGTGACAGGCTCGGACTCAGGCTCATCATATCGGCCACAACACGTCCACCACTGAGCATAGCCCCCTCCCCATTGACTAATAGGCTCAATTTATAATAGTTTGAATTGAAGACATAACTGGTGAAAATATCAAATGAAGTTATTATAAAAAAAACTAACACGATAGAAAGTGATCTTCTCGCTCCTGAACAAGAGACATGTTTCCTCGTGGATGACGATGTCGTGCTCATCCCGAGGACACTCGCAGTGCAAGCTGACCAAGGATTCTTCAGTTGTACTCTCCTCCGTACACACACACGGCATAGAATCCGATTTGGCCGACATCTCGGCTGCTTTAACTTTATAAGCTATTAAAAAAACAATGTAGAATTAAAGATAATATTTGAAGCACCCGATTGAAAACGAAAATTGGTAATCAAAAAATTGTCAGCGAAATCAACAGTTTATTTGTTGCTAGACAACGGTTTTTTTTTCATAATTTTATTCTGCTTTGTCTTTGGTTGGAAATTATCATCGCACCTCTTTGCTCGATGTCGTTGCTATGGCAACGCGTTGTCAACAAAAGCGCGGGATCGTTGCGAAGTAAACAAGTAAATTGAAGAAAATAAAATAAATATGGTAAGCATTTAAAAATAGCTGCTATATTATTTATTTAAAAGTAAAATCGGAAATAAACATTGTTGTAAACTTATTATTTAGAAATGTATACGACGAGTGTTATAAGTACATATTTTTGTTTTCATTTCAATCAATGTCGCAGTTTATTAGTTCATGGGTAGGGACTTAATTAATTTCTAGTATTACATGCGTAGATCCTATCAAGATCAAAGCCAGCTACGGAGACCCGTACAAACACAAGCAGTAGTTCAGCTAAGAAAAGCTTCCCAGAATTGGAGGACTTTCTGCTGAAGAGGGATTATGTCGGCGCACTCACTATGCTTGAGGTAAGCAGATCCTTGCCAAGTGATATTTTATGAGAATGAAGTACCTAACTTACGTACTGTTTTAAACAAATACGGAGGGCGAACTATGGTTACCTATAACTGGTATTACTAGCGTAATCTAGAATTGCTAATATAGTATCCTTGTTCAAGAAGAACCCGATTATAACCGATTATAATTAATCGATTTAGAAAAGTTTTTTATTAATTTTTGTTGCCCTAGTTCCTCAAACACGAGGGCAACGCAGAAGTGTGGCCGGACGTGTGGAGTGCGTGGTGTTGGTTCCACCTGGGCGAGTACCGCCGCGCTCTGGACGTCTATCTACGCGTGCGCACGCGGGACAATCTAGATGCGCGCGTCTCCGACTACATAGCTATGGATGTGGCTGTTTGCTATTTTTATTTAGGTTCTTATTTTATTCATTTTACTTTAGTCTCTTGTTAGCGATGAAATTATTGCTAAGTTTTGAATAAAGGCAATAAGTTATCTTTGTTCTAATACAAAGACAAATGATTTTAAAAAAAATCCTATACGACAATTGATTTTTAGGTATGTACCAGGAATCACAAGAAGCTGTGGAGGAAGCACCGAAATGTTCGTTGAAGGTAAGTAAACACAATTTAATTATTATTTATTAGTATTCGTATATAGCAAACTGCAGTAGTAGTGGGCGGGACAAATAGCTCGAAGAATCAACGGCCGATGGGGCAGAAAGGTTTACGAATGTAGGCCATGTACACGTCCTTAGCTCGTAGGTCGTAGGACGTCCACCGATATTGTGAATAGACGACCTAATAAAGGAAGCTGCTGACTGATCATGCAACCCCCAGATCTGGAAGTCTTCAGACGACACCTATTTAGCAATGGACATCAAGATGATCATAGATCAAGATCTAATATAACTAATACGTCCTGTGGCTAATTTAATTATAGTCTGAAACGAGCACCTAGCTTCACTGACATCCAGACTGACGGACATTTCAATTTTGACATTTCAAAAGTGTTAGCATTAAGGATTAATATAAAGAAATGCTGTTGACTTTGACTATGACTTCTCCAATGCTTATTGCAGACTCGCCTCCTTTTCCACCTGGCACACAAGCTTGGTGACGAGGAGTCTCTGATGAAAGCCCATGCGACATTACGAGATGTGCCTGAAGACCAGCTGTGCCTGGCCTCAGTCCACTACTTGAGGGCACATTATCAGGAGGCCATTGATGTGTATAAAAAGCTCTTGCTGGATAGACGGTAAGTTCAGAAATACATAGTATAGTGTATGTTTTTATGAACGAAACTACAAAAGTAGGAATTTTTGGTCTCATTTTTATTTACAATTTTATCTCTACAATACCAAACCAAAGCCAGATAAGCTGCTGCTTCCATCACTACATAGTATAAAACGAAGTCGCTATCCGCCGTCTGTCTGTCCCTATGTATGCTTAGATCTTTAAAACTACGCAACGGATTTTGATGCGGTTTTTTAATAGATAGAGTTATTCTCAAGGAAGGTTTATATGTATAATATATGTATAGTACCGGGGCGAGTCACTAATTAACAATAAAATAAGTTATTTAAGAATATTTCACGCTTACAGATACAAAAAATATGATAACGACGACATGGAGTGGATCAAAATGTTATCCGCTACGGATGGGTACGATTGTACCTACCTACTATATTTCTAACATAGCCCTAGCTTTCTAGTCTACTTGTAACATTCGTTTCCTTAGATACGTAACTTTGACTATAAAGTATGATAGGCAAATCATCTAAAGACCATAATTCATTAATCTTCATATTTATTCCCATTTTAAAATACCTATAGACATATAGGTATATAGATATATAGGTAGCATAACACTCGAGAGGAAAAGAAACGGAAACACTAGCGTTTTTTCTTTTTCCGTTCTTGATAAATATTTTCTGATACAAGTATTTTATTAATTGGTAATAATTGGTAACAAATGTCGTGTTAAAGGCAATTTAGTTACCTCTAAAACGAGAGCATTTTGTGACAAAAGGCATACTTTTTTTTAATTATAGAGGCCTCGATAAAATTAAAATACGCCAGTGGCTCCGTTTCTTTGATACCGTATAAGTAAAGCTTAAATTACTGAGAATACTTTTGACAATACCAATTCTTCTACCATACTCTCATTTTCCATTCTTCTTCTTTCGTCACTCTAGCTCGTACATGGCTCTAAACGTGTACGTGGCCCTCTGCTACTACAAGCTGGATTACTACGACGTGTCTCAAGAGGTGCTCGGGGTCTACCTCGCTCAGCATCCTACCTCCACCGTCGCGGGGAACTTGAAGGCGTGTAATCTGTTTAGGTAAATAAATCAGTTAGTTAGTTATCTTTATATATATAATTCTTCTGTGAGTGTGTATGTCACTGAACTTCTCACAAACGACTGGACCGATTTTGATGAAATTTTTTGTGTGTGTTCAAGGGGATCTGGGAATGGTTTAGATTCACAAATCAGCCCGGCAGATGACGCTGCAGTCGATGTTTAGGCTATTTATCCTAAACAGCTGAACTAATCTAAATGAATTTTTGTTTATAGATTCAAGTAGATATGCAGGACAACGTCTGTTGGGTCCGCTAGTCTATATATATAAAAATGAAACCCGTTTCCCGTTATCACGCCATAATTTTTTTTTTGTTGTGTTTGTTATTGTTAGGAGAAGGTTCTTATGATAGAAAACAATCCTGAAAATCTTATGGGAACGGGATTGCGCGTACGAAGTCGCGGGCAGAAGCTAGAGAAGCGATAATTTACAAATGTAGCTAGCGATACATTGCTTTATTATATTTCATAGAAATTCGGTGGTGTATGTGAAAGGGACATCTCTCCTATCTGTTCGGATTTCCGTGCCATCAAATTATGAAAATGTGTATGTTGTATATAATATCGTACCTCCGGTGCTATAACGTCACTTATGTATTGCGGGGGCCCGCGCGCAACTGAACAATGAAATGTTGTTCCTCCCAGTGCCGTCCAGATTAGCGCCAAAACCGTAACGACAGTAATGCCCTCACAATGTCAGTTTGCTTACTACACAAATGACAATAACGCACCAAGTAAAGAGGTGAATTTGGAGTATTCTTTCATAATCAGTTAAGTTTTGACAAAAATTGCATAAGTGACGATATTGCACCGTAGCTAGGTGAGATATGTCTTACACAATGCTCTAGGCTTATTAAATAGATTGGTCACCATGATCGAAATCAACCAATTGTGTTTACTCCTCGAAATAGACAGACCTCTGAGTTTGTTTCGGCATTTCTTCTTTAGGAAATGTCGACCTTGATAAAATTGACGTGTAAAAGTGCTGCCTTGTAGCCTATTTGCGGAAATAAATTCACTTGTTTCACTTGATTCACTTGATGTCACCTGCAGACTGTACAACGGTAAGGCAGCCGAGAATGAACTGAAACAGATGACGTCAGACCAGCACACTTTCGGCCAAGATCTAGTCAAGCATAACCTGGTTGTGTTTAGGAATGGCGAAGGAGCGTTAAAGGTAACTGAAAATGCATATTTGACATTGCAAATATCAAACCTTACCGACTCGTAGTCACACCAGATTATCACACCAGTATGACAAACAGGATTTTTTTTCTCGTTTGTCATACCACTTATTTTTCTACACTATGTATACGATAATTACTAGTGCAGTACCTTTACATTCCAATAAAATCGATCGGCGTTTGCCGTCTTTCGTCCTTTGGCGAGTTTTTAATATTTTCTACTTTTAATTAATAAATAGGTAACATAACATAACATCACGCCTTTTATCCCAAAGGGGTATGCAGAGGTGCCCATTGCGGCACTTAATGCCACTATACAATGTAACACCTACTTGTTCACTATTTATATTATGAGTCCCATGTAGTAGGGGGTGAGCCTATTGCTATATACCGGGCACATGTCCAGACTCCGTGCTACTACTGAGATTTTTAAAAACCCAGTAATACTTTGCCCGACCCGGGAATCGAACCCGAGACCCCTTGCTCGTCGCACTTGCGACCACTCGGCCAACGAGGCCGTCTAAATAAATAGGTACTAAAGCTCTATGTGGATGTCCAGTGGTTCATATGATAATGCAACCTTATCTAGTAGGTACTGGCCGGGTGTAAATGCAATGCTTGAGTTAATGATCGAGGACGCTCGATAGTTTTCGAGGATACTCGAAGGTGATCGAGGACGCTCGAAGGTGATCGAGGACGCTCGAAAGTGATCGAGGACGCTCGAAAGTGATCGAGGACGCTCGATAGTTTTAGAGGATACTCGAAAGTGATCGAAGACGCTCGATAGTGATCAAGGATACTCGATAGATTTCGAGGACGCTCGAAAGTGATCGAGGACGCTCGATCGATTTCGAGGACGCTCGATAGATTTCGAGGACGCTCGATAGTTTTCGAGGACTCTCAAAAGTGATCGAGGACGCTCGATAGATTTCGAGGACGCTCGAAAGTGATCGAGGATGCCCGATAGATTTCGAGGATACTCGAAAGTGATTGAGGACGCTCGAAAGTGATCGAGGACGCTCAATAGATTTCGAGGACGATCGAAAGTGATCGAGGACGCCCGATAGATTTCGAGGACGCTCGAAAGTGATCGAGGACGCTCGATAGATTTCGAGGACGCTCGAAAGTGATCGAGGACGCCCGATAGTTTTCGAGGATACTCGAAAGTGATCGAGGACGCCCGATAGATTTCGAGGATACTCGAAAGTGATCGAGGACGCCCGATAGATTTCGAGGACGCTCGATAGATTTCGAGGACGCTCGATAGATTTCGAGGACGCTCGATAGTTTTCGAGGACTCTCAAAAGTGATCGAGGACGCTCGAAAGTGATCGAGGATGCCCGATAGATTTCGAGGATACTTGAAAGTGATCGAGGACGCTCGAAAGTGATCGAGGACGCTCGATAGATTTCGAGGACGATCGAAAGTGATCGAGGACGCCCGATAGATTTCGAGGACGCTCGAAAGTGATCGAGGACGCTCGATAGATTTCGAGGACGCTCGAAAGTGATCGAGGACGCCCGATAGTTTTCGAGGATACTCGAAAGTGATCGAGGACGCCCGATAGATTTCGAGGATACTCGAAAGTGATCGAGGACGCCCGATAGATTTCGAGGACGCTCGATAGATTTCGAGGACGCTCGAAAGTGATCGAGGACGCCCGATAGTTTTCGAGGATACTCGAAAGTGATCGAGGACGCCCGATAGATTCGAGGACGCTCGATAGATTTCGAGGACGCTCGATAGTTTTCGAGGACGCTCGAAAGTGATCGAGGACGCCCGATAGTTTTCGAGGATACTCGAAAGTGATCGAGGACGCCCGATAGATTTCGAGGACGCTCGTTAGATTTCGAGGACGCTCGATAGATTTCGAGGACGCTCGATAGTTTTCGAGGACGCTCGAAAGTGATCGAGGACGCTCGATAGTTTTAGAGGATACTCGAAAGTGATCGAGGACGCTCGATAGATTTCGAGGACGCTCGAAAGTGATCGAGGACGCCCGATAGTTTTCGAGGATACTCGAAAGTGATCGAGGACGCCCGATAGATTTCGAGGTACTCAAAAGTGATCGAGGACGCCCGATAGATTTCGAGGACGCTCGATAGATTCGAGGACGCTCGAAAGTGATCGAGGACGCCCGATAGTTTTCGAGGATACTCGAAAGTGATCGAGGACGCCCGATAGATTTCGAGGACGCTCGATAGATTTCGAGGACACTCGATAGTTTTCGAGGACGCTCGAAAGTGATCGAGGACGCCCGATAGTTTTCGAGGATACTCGAAAGTGATCGAGGACGCCCGATAGATTTCGAGGACGCTCGATAGATTTCGAGGACGCTCGATAGATTTCGAGGACGCTCGATAGTTTTCGAGGACGCTCGAAAGTGATCGAGGACGCCCGATACTTTTCGAGGATACTCGAAAGTGATCGAGGACGCTCGATCGATTTCGAGGACGCTCGATAGATTTCAAGAACGCTCAAAAGTGATCGAGGACGCTCGATCGATTTCGAGGACGCTCGAAAGTGATCGAGGACGCCCGATAGATTTCGAGGACGCTCGAAAGTGATCGAGGACGCTCGATAGATTTCGAGGACGCTCGAAAGTGATCGAGGACGCCCGATAGTTTTCGAGGATACTCGAAAGTGATCGAGGACGCCCGATAGATTTCGAGGATACTCGAAAGTGATCGAGGACGCCCGATAGATTTCGAGGACGCTCGATAGATTTCGAGGACGCTCGAAAGTGATCGAGGACGCTCGATAGTTTTAGAGGATACTCGAAAGTGATCGAGGACGCTCGATAGATTTCGAGGACGCTCGAAAGTGATCGAGGACGCCCGATAGTTTTCGAGGATACTCGAAAGTGATCGAGGACGCCCGATAGATTTCGAGGATACTCGAAAGTGATCGAGGACGCCTGATAGATTTCGAGGACGCTCGATAGATTTCGAGGACGCTCGAAAGTGATCGAGGACGCCCGATAGTTTTCGAGGATACTCGAAAGTGATCGAGGACGCCCGATAGATTTCGAGGACGCTCGATAGATTTCGAGGACACTCGAAAGTGATCGAGGACGCCCGATAGATTTCGAGGACGCTCGAAAGTGATCGAGGACGCTCGATAGATTTCGAGGACGCTCGATAGTTTTCGAGGACGCCCGATAGTTTTCGAGGATACTCGAAAGTGATCGAGGACGCCCGATAGATTTCGAGGACGCTCGATAGATTTCGAGGACGCTCGAAAGTGATCGAGGACGCCCGATAGTTTTCGAGGATACTCGAAAGTGATCGAGGACGCCCGATAGATTTCGAGGACGCTCGATAGATTTCGAGGATGCTCGATAGTTTTCGAGGACGCTCGAAAGTGATCGAGGACGCCCGATAGTTTTCGAGGATACTCGAAAGTGATCGAGGACGCCCGATAGATTTCGAGGACGCCCGATAGTTTTCGAGGATACTCGAAAGTGATCGAGGACGCCCGATAGATTTCGAGGACGCTCGATAGATTTCGAGGACGCTCGAAAGTGATCGAGGACCCCGATAGTTTTCGAGGATACTCGAAAGTGATCGAGGACGCCCGATAGATTTCGAGGACGCTCGATAGATTTCGAGGATGCTCGAAAGTGATCGAGGACGCTCGATCGATTTCGAGGACGCTCGATAGATTTCGAGGACGCTCGATAGTTTTCGAGGACGCTCAAAAGTGATCGAGGACGCTCGATAGTTTTAGAGGATACTCGAAAGTGATCGAGGACGCTCGATAGATTTCGAGGACGCTCGATAGTTTTCGAGGACGCTCAAAAGTGATCGAGGACGCTCGATAGATTTCGAGGACGCTCGATAGTTTTCGAGGACGCTCAAAAGTGATCGAGGACGCTCGATAGATTTCGAGGACGCTCGAAAGTGATCGAGGACGCTCGAAAGTGATCGAGGATGCCCGATAGATTTCGAGGATACTCGAAAGTGATCGAGGACGCTCGAAAGTGATCGAGGACGCTCGATAGATTCCGAGGACGCTCGATAGATTTCGAGGACGCTCGATAGATTTCGAGGACGCTCGAAAGTGATCGAGGACGCTCAAAAGTGATCGAGGACGCTCGAAAGTGATCGATGATGCCCGATAGATTTCGAGGATACTCGAAAGTGATCGAGGACGCCCGATAGATTTCGAGGACACTCGATAGTGTCTTTGTCTTTAATTTAAAGGTTTGCAACATGTGTCGATACCCTTCGCCATCTCATCTTCTGACTACGGCAGGTTGTGCTGGGGCGGCTGCCGCAAGTGCAGAAACCCTCAGCGGCACAAATATAATAACCTTATCGGAAATTACATGCGCTCATCGTGTTGTTCGAGATATCAGTAAACGTCGACTCTTCGCGTGACCAGAGGGCCGGGCTTTTCTTTTGTCAACGAATCAGCATTGCCATCCAACGTGGCAATGCTGCCAGCGTTCTGGGCACCTTTCCCATTGATATAGATAGGGGTGGATTCTTTTATGTAGTTTACTTTTCAAACCAATTGATTTCTCTTTTCGCCATAAACTTAATTATAATAATTGACGCCCTATGATTTTTTTTTTACTACCTGTTTGTACATATTATTACTATACATAGTTAGTTTATTATTACTTTATGTTACACATTTAATTAAATAAAGGCATCAATTTAATAAAAACTTGATAATTTGATGATTTTTAATTTAGCTCTAGGACAGCACTAGTTAAGAATAAATGGTGTAGAAAAATAAGTGGTGTGACAAACGAGAAAAAAAATCCTGTTTGTCATACTGGTGTGATAATCTGGTGTGACTACGAGTCGGTAAGGATATCAAAACATGGTGACGCTGCATGTAGACCCGTGTTCTTACAAGCTTTAATTTAATTAATAATGCACAATTTAGTGTTACTAAGCCAATGGCGTGTTAAAAATATTCATTTGAGAAGAAGATATCAATAAGATTATTGGCTATAAAAACCCTTATTTTGCATAGGTATTATAGTTTTCTGTTTCCTGTACCTTAACCATAAATGAAACCTGATTGCCTCGTTGGCCGAATGATCGCAAGTGCGACTGCCAGGCAAGGGGTCCCGGGTTAGATTCCCGAGACGGGCAAAATATTATTAAGTTTATAAAAAAATCTCAGTAGGTAGTAGCACGAAGTTTAGAATAGTGCCTGGCAATGGGCTCACCCCCTATTACATGAGACTCATAACATAAATAGTGTAAAGTGAGTGTTACATTGTACAGTGGCATTAAGTGCCATAATGTGCACTTGTGCCCACCCCTTCGGGGATAAAAAGGCCTGAAACCTAACTCAAAATATAACGCTTACCGTAACTTATGATTGTGATTAGTCACAATCATGAGTTAGGTTTAATACTAAGGTCCAATAATAGATTATCACACAGAAGGAACCCACACAACTCTTTACAATTCCCTATCAGGTTTTACCAGAGCTAGTAGACGTGGTGCCGGAAGCTCGTCTAAATCTAGCAGGCTATAGACTTCGGAACAGGGAGCCGATAGAAGCCAGGACTCTGCTGGAACCGCTGCAGCCCACCTCGCCGCTACACTACATCCTCAGAGCCGTGGTCGCCGTGAAGCTGTATAATGATACTGGAGATGTAAGTTTATATATTTAACTGTAACTAGCTTCTGCCCATGACTTTGTACGAGCAATCCCGTTTTTTTTCCGACCCCGTTAGTACTTTTCGGTAAATAGTAAAAACGTATTGGATAAAACTATCCCATGTCTCTCTTGATCCTAAGCTACTTTCCACCAATTTTTATCCAAATCGATTTAGTCGTTCTTGAGTTATAAATAGTGTAAGTAACACGATTTTCTTTTATATATGTAAGGTAAATGCACCTTATTCCGAGGGGTTCTAAAAATGGCATCATATTCCGATGTATTTAGAAAAACAGTTTTTTAAAGCAATTTACTAGTTATTTATGGTCTGCATGATAAAATAATGAATTAATAATTATCTGTTCATATTTATTTATACAAAGGAGAGTTTAGTATGGTCACACTGTAAAATAATCGGTCATTTTGCCGCGGGGAGCGGCGTCGAAAGCACACTTCATACATTTGGGACCTTATGCACGTGAGTATTACGATTTGCCAAATAGTGTTTTACGTAATAATTTTATACAACGCGAGTTTTCGTTTAGGTTGAAATATTGAAAGGATAATATTTTTTATCGAAAACACTTAAGATTTGAGTATTTTATTTGCAAATTAGCAAGAAAATAAGTGTTCAAAATACCGCGGCATTAGGTGCAAAATATTTTAGTGTGTTCCTAAAAGCCGATGTATACCACGGAAAAACAAATTTAAAGACATTTAGTTTTTTTAAATTTCGGTGTCTGTTTTATGATTATAAACTTTAATGTGTTAGTTCTGACTTAATGAATAACTCATACATTTAATAATCTATTTCCGAGGTACACCGTGGCGTCGCATTTACTAATTATAGCAGGTCAAAAATTGTTTGTACAGGTACTTTATTAATACGTTGTATAGAAAATTTTAGTGAAGACATTAGGTTTTATAAGTGTTCTGTTATTATATGTATGTACTTTATATTTGTTTTCCTTTCATATTGTAACTATACATTATTTTATTTGCATAATATTAAAAAATCTTTTACTTTTTAGTACTCGGAATTAGAAACTTTGATTTAGCATCATAAAACGCTATTCCGATGTATTTACGTCGGAATAAGGTTACATGAGTACCTAATTCCGATGTATTTACGTCGGAATAAGATTACATGAGAAACCTAATTCCGAAGTTAGTTAAGACCCTGTTTAAATACAGAGTGTTCATTATTTTATGTGCTTAGTAGTAGATACGCGTTTAGTAACTGAAAGAATACTAATCATCTATACAAATACATAAAATTGGAGTGTGTGTTTGTAAAAAAATATAATAAAATTATTTTTTTACGTTTAGTTTTTTTTTAATTGCATGTATTTTATTTATTTTATTATATTAAAGAAAATGACTTTAGAAGACTCTTAAGAATATTCATATTAGGTATTTTCCCTTTTTACCGGTGGTACTACGGGTCGTAGCACAGGTAAAAATAAACAAATTTGGATCTCGTAATAGGCTCTAATTTTGATATGATTATAGCAATTGTTATACTTTTAACTTGTAAGTACAAAAATAATAATAATGTAATTATTTTTGTAATGCAACAATTAGATTTTAATTTGATATTGTTAATTCATTTTTTATTTTTATAAGATTAAGGAATATATAATAAAAAACAGGGTTTAGAATAAAACTAGAATAAACAAAAACAGAATTGATTTAAGTAATATAAAAAATAAACAGATTTGACTTTTAAACATCATGTATAATTCTCCCTACATAGTTCCCTTTCTATTTTTATACTCGGAATTAGGAACCAAATGCACCGGAATTACGATTTTTAAATCGGAATAAGGTACCTCGGACTTTTTTATATTTTTATTTATTTTATCAGCTTCAATAACCTTCTACTGACAAACTGCAAATATTTTTCAAAAATTAGATAGCTAACACTTCTGATAAAAATATAAAATTGTACACAAAGGTCCGATAAATACTTAATTTATAATGTTCTTTCGTGTTATGTTAAAAACAGCGCGGAATTAGGTGCCTTTACCTTACATAGATTCTTTTAACTGACTTGGTGACTACCTAATGGTTGGATGATTTAGTTTTGAATTATTCATTGTGGCTTGTGTAAAACTTCGGCCGTCTATAAAAAACACTTTTTCCTTGAAAGAGAAGTTACTTCAGACTAAATTTCTAAACTCTATAAACCCTCCGATAATTTTAAAACAAGAAATTTAACATTAGTTTTTCACTCTTTTTATATTACATACCAACTCATGACGTCAGCATCGGAAGGCCTAACGTGTTGCCAGGGCTCCGGCTCGAAGAGCAAGAGTAGCAACGCGGTGGTTTTTAGTCAGTAAGAGCCTGACACTCCCTCTCGTCTAACCCAAGCCAATGGATGATTTACCCCCTCAAAAAAAATGTCATGACGTCACAACAACTGCGATTTCAAATTAATACCGCGATAAGTAACTCACTCTTACTCGTATTTATGTTCATACACACTTAAAGAACAGTTTAGTCTTAGAGTTTAGTTATTATAAAGTACGTATAATACCTGACTTCAACCCCCTCTTGTTTAGAAGTCGGTCAATTAATACACTAAAACCATCTCCAAAGTGTAACAAATACTTTTATCAATACCGCTTCATAACAGTTCAGCCAATCCGAGATTATCGCGCACAAACACATAGGTCAATCTGACTCTTTTTTTTCTTTTTTAAGGTTGTTTAAAATCGTTCCATAAAGATTTACTAGCTTGTCCTTTCTTTGTTTCCTCCTATTAAATCTTTACCTATTTCTCTAGGACGAACAGCTAAAACTGGCTCAACAGAGCTTCCACTTGGTGGGCAGTTCAGCATCAGAATGTGACACGATCCCTGGTCGTCAATGCATGGCCTCCTCCTACTTCCTGGCGGGTCATTATGAGGAAGTTCTAGTTTACCTAAACTCCATCAAGAGCTTCTTTGTCAATGATGATACCTTCAACTTCAACTACGCACAGGTAAGCATCAAAATAACCTTTATTGCTGTACTGTTTTAGTGGGAATTCAAGGAGAAAGATAAAATCTGATCACCCACGTGAGTCTGCAAATTTTATTGAATTGAATGATCAGATAAAAGATATGCAATTAACTTAATAATGGTTACTTTTTCAAATATAAATGTTAATGAAAATCTGCAACCTGTTTTTGTGTCCTCTACCTAATGACCCTCTCCCAATATCACGTAAAATTGAAGCTACTAAACTTAATCACAATACTATACATCCAGGTTTATTTGAACATACAACAGACCTTAGGTGAATGCTACACGCTCAATATGTATTATGTATCGCGATATTTATCGTGATATTTAGCAAGTAATAATTAATTATAACATAATTATGATTTCTGATTGACTTAACTAAAAGTTATAATAAAATAGTATATAAAAATTAGGAGACGTCCTGTACCACCGCTACCAGTGGTTAGAGCTCCAGAGGCTAAAACCTCCTCACGATATGTGCCGTTTCTAGGACAACTCCCCTCTGTATCAGACCCTTGATCCATCCACCTATCAACAGCCTCCTAAGATGGATGTCGAGGCTTTTAGGGATTAACCCATTGGCCGACACGAATATCGGCACAATGATAGCCAAATCCACACTCCATATGTCGCCAACCTTATGATTATAATCACGCTGTACTACAGACTCATGTCGTGATCCTGAATTACGATCCAAATATCACGATAAACATCGAGCGTGTAGCATTCGCCTTAGCATTAGATTTATCGGTTTTTAAAAAATAAGTCAATGGTACTTACCAGGCTAAAGTAGCAACCGGTTTCTATCGTGAAGCTGAAGAGAGTCTGCTTTCAATACAAGACGAGGGCATCCGCAACTCCTTCACGTTCCTCGCGTGTCTCTGCCGCTGCCACGTCATGAACAAGGACGCTGCTCTCGCATGGGATATTTGTGTCAAGGTAATTCAATCTTTACAATAAGAGTAAATTCATTCCATTATTCATTCATATTATTCATTGTTATTTATTAAGTCAACAATTTTAAAATCTGTGCTACAATTTACTGCTAAGAATTTGAATTGGCCAATACGAAACTCAAAGAGAACTTCAAATTACCTCGACAAACTTCCGAAATTGTATTCCATAACATAAAAGATTAAGATACATTCACTAAAAAATACAAACGTTAAATAATTTATAACTACATTACTATTTACAAAATCAGTTCACGTATCATGTCTATCCAAGTCCTAAATGTTTCGTATTTGGTTGACAGTCGGCGGGCACTCCCGACAGCTTCGCGTTGTTGCAACTGGTTGCTAACGACAGCTACCGCATGGGACAGTTTCTAGTCGCCGCCAAAGCCTTCCACATGCTTGACAGGTGGGGACTAATTATCACAGATCACTTACTGTACTACTAACCTGATTAGATTTATGGATGAATCTTTTAATAAGTAGGTAAACTTCATTCAAAGCAAAATTTTGACTAAGATGAAAAAAATATTGACACCATAATAAGATTGCTATTTTCATAAGTGAGGGTCCTGTAGATTTAGAAAATTAGGTTTCGTAGTGTTTACCTCAGCTTTTGTAGCTAAGGCAATATGCGTTACATAAAATTAATAAGTTCATTATGTTTCATCACATCAATTAGGTTGGACGGAGGTCCAGAGATGTGGGAAGGACTTCGCGGAGCAGTCTGTGGCTGCGCTCAGGCCGCCGCGGCCAACAGGCCTAATGCTGCAGCTGAGCTCAGGGATGCCCTAGCCTTACTCAAGGGTCCAAGGTCACATACCCGTGCAGACAACATAGTCAGGACCATCACAAAATGGGCACAACAAAACAGGATCCCTGTCTGACCGGAAACCAAGACTTGCAAAGTATCGTAGAAGCCTTTGCGTAGTATTTAGAACCCAATAATATGTAATAAGGAAGTAGCTTGGGTACGTGCGATAATTCACAATCTCTTTTGTAAAATAAAGCTAAATAAATGAATAGTTTTACTAAGCTATATTGACTAGTTCAATAAATTATTTAAACTGTTTAATAACTGGTTTCTTTACGGAGTACCGCAAGGACCCATATTAGGGCCAATACTAACTTCTGAACTTTTGGACCGGAAACTATATTTTAAATTCAGTACTACTCTGCTTCATATGAAATAGAACTTGGTTGGACTTAGTTCAAATGTATATTGCAAGGTGTGACAGTGACATCCGATATCAAATAAATATTTCACATGAAAACTTTTGAACGGCAATCGTCAGACTTGACCGAGTTATTACTGAGATATCAACGTAATTACTGGGCGAGTTCTCGCACTCAATGATTCATGGCGCACTAAAAACTTACATTTTATGACATACAGGATCTCCAGTACTAGCGTGGAACCAGTATTCATACATATTCGTACGTTTGTCCCAATTTAGAAGTTACATTGAATATTGATTATTGCCGCAAATTGCTAGTTGGGCCCAATGTTATTTCTTAATCCTAGACACGTATCCTCTAGATATGGTCTCGCACGGTCTAGATCTAGAAACTTAATCTACTACCTACTTCCTTTTAATTATCTTAACTGTTGACGTGTTATCCTTTATGGGGTATGTCAAACTTGTCAGGTTTAATTGTAATTACGGTGTTTATGAAGGAGCGTTAATACTGACTTGGTAAATTAGACAAAATATGAGGTTCGACAATATATTGGGTTGATATCAACCTATAACCCGTTTCAAAAAACTACCGATACTAGGCAAAATTTTTATTTACATCAATTAATCCGTATATTTTTTTTTCTTTGGTAACCGTGTCTCTAATAAGGGGTAATTTATTTATTTCCAAGTCAAATCGTCACTGTTACTGAACAATTTTCAATAATTACTAATTCCCCAACCAACTACCCCAAGATAATCTACTGGCATTCATATTTTATTAAAGGTATACGTTACTCATAAGAAACCTACTTCATTAGTGTCAATTTACGTGGCGGGTTGTGTATGCCCTTAGCGCACGTACGTGTCCGTTTCCGCGTCTGCCCAAGTAATGCCCAAGTTTGAAGTTATCAAGACTACTTATTGACATATTAGGTATAGGCTAAAATTCAGACTAAGACATATCTATCTCCGTCCCTTCATCCAAACCCGACTAGTCTAGCCTGTCTATTTATTCATGCATTACATAGAATTTTATTTACTTTATTCCTTTAATCGCGCTGTAGGGATTGCTACTTGAACGACTGAGGCGCCCTCATTTATTTTCATGACTAGCTTTTACGCGGCTTCGCTCGCGTCACAAAAGGATAAAAAGTAGCCTATGTGACATATACCAATACTTTTGTTTTCCCTCGGGAATATAAATTTTTTCCGGGATAAAAAGTACTCTATTATTTAATCCGGACTTCTAACTTTATGTCTGAAAAAATTCAAAGCAATCGATTTAGTAATTACGGCGTGAAAGCGGAACAAACAAACAAACTCACTTTCTAATTTATAATATTAGTAAGGATTAAATGGACAAGCTGCACCTAGTTTTTTCATTATAATGTTACGGACTTACAAACATAGGTATATCCATACATCGTAACAAACTTTTGCATTTAAAAAATAATAGTACGATGGTAGGATAGAATACGTAGATATTTAGAAACGTATACGTAAAGTTATAGCATTAAGTTAATAGTTAAAGAGAAGCAATCCAGAGAAAAGTCCATGGACAGCGCTTATCGCTGATCAGTCTGCTCGTTTGACTCCTATTCCATAAAAAAGCAATCTCATAATATGAATAAATAAATATTAAACTGTCAAACACCGAGCGGTCACCGGTGACCGCAACCTTACGGTACTCGACGAGTTAAAGTAACATATAAAAGTAAATCTGATCTAATTAATATGAAATTGTGAACATAATTCATCACTGTATACTAACTCATTCACCCATAAATATTTTTATTTTTGCCGCGCTTTATTCGGTTCGGCGCCATATTAAACTCTGAATTGACAATTAATAATTATCTATAAGGAGGCTGGGGGCACCTTGAGAGCCTAGGCATTTTTTGTACAATGATTGAATCTATAATTATGTGTATCTTAATACACCATAGTAACTTGATTTTTCTCGGAAATCTCTCTAAAACTGGTCTACTCTAAATGGTCACCATCTTTCTATGTCTCTGCCAAGTTTAGCCAAAACAAGATAGGTGATTATAAGTACAGGTTTAATCATTGACGATTTCAACATACTACAGCGTTTCCGCTGACTTACCTTTAACTAATTAGAAGTCAAACATGCTTCATAAATAATAAGTAGGTACCCATATATTTACCTATTACATTTAATAGGAACATTCGTTTGAAAAATGTAACTAAGTATTCCGTCCGTTTTTAAACCGCTGCTATTAGTGGGTAGGCGCATTTGATACCACATTTTTGTAAAGGGAATCATCGAATGACTGCTCCCGCCTGGGTGAGGCGGGAGGGAGTGTCAGACTCTTACTGACTAAAAACCACCCCGTTCCTTCTCCTGCACTTCGAGCCGGATAAACCCCTGTTACCCGTTAGGTTCTGTCGAGGAGAACCTAACGGGTAACCGGGGCTCCGGCGGGAGCAGTCATTCGATGATTTTCCCCCCTTAAAAAAAAGGCCCCAAAATTTAAACTTTACTGTTTCGTAACAAAGTTGAATAATTATTAAATTAATTTGATAGATTAGCGTAGCTGGGTAAGTGAGAACAGACAGATCAATCCGATCTGTCAGTAGTACCGAATACTATTCAATTGAGTAAATTCCTTAATACAAAAAAAACTGCGTTTAAAAAAATTAAATAAGTATAACGAAAAGTAAAAACTAAAAAGCAAAATATAACTATTATTGGTCATACGTACTTATAGCTTACACACCCACTGATAGGTGAGAAGTCGGTGCCACAATTTTACACAAAATTATTCATTAAAACCTTAATAGATACCTAACATTATAAAGCTATTTACAAATTTATTATGGATTATATCTGATCTGTAATCATTACCTAAGATATATTTTGTTATGGGTTAGGTTTTGGGTTGATAGCTTCGCAGTTCTCAGGGTAATGAAAGTAAAGGAAAGACAAGAAATACTGCAAAAATTGCATTTATTTATAAAAACTAAATTATATTTACATGTACGTAAATAATACGATGCGTCAAGATCAGGTCCGTAGGCAACAGTCAAAGCAGTACAATAAATAATAAGTTACAATCGACAGGCGAGGTCATCGGGCGCCCACTCCTGCTGAACGAAACCCACTCTTACAGACACGGGCCGGACAGTAAAGACCAGGAAAACTACAAAATAGGGCACTCTCCCTCAAATTCCAAAACGCCCAATGTTACATTTTGACGTTTGAACCCAAAACAAGAATTCTAGACTTCTACAAAAGTTAAGTTACTAGGACGTTACAATTCGCCTTTACCATGTAGCCGCGGCCTATGATTTCTAACCAAACTACGTATTAAGGCACAATCTCAGTCAAAAATCATTAATTTATCGTTATAACCATTTTTTCATAAAATCTCAACACTAATCTAGAGTTGAAATTCTGTCATATCCTTACACAATTCTCTGATCGTTCAGCAAGATACTAGGTCGCTTAGCAGTTGTAGTTGATGGGTTTAACCCCACGGGTGGGCAACGCCAACGTGGGCAGCTGGTAGCGTGTACCTCGCGACTGGTGCGGCCACCGCAACCGGCGCAGGCGCGGCGTATACCTTTGCTACTGGTGCTGCCACCTAAAGGAAATTATACGTTCTCAAAATAAGCAGAAAATGTAGATCTTGGTAATCAAAATTCCTCTTTGAAGTGGAATGAAAAAGTAGCATAAAACGGCAGCATTTGTATTTTTCTACATTTCTATAAAACTGAATTATTGTTTTATGTAGTTATAGAACTTATAAAGAGCCCTGCCGTACGCGGAGAGGTCGTAGTATTGCCAATAGCTGCCGAGGTTACGTTATGGAGTAAAAGTTAGAAGGGAGTGATGTTTAGTAAGTAAAAGTCTGACAGTCTCGCCTCTCCGGAGCGGGAGGTGTCATTTGATAATTTTCATCCTTAAAAAAAACACTCACCGCGTGGGCAGCAGCTCCCGTCCTCTCAACCACGGCGTTGAATCCATTGATCTTGTCAGCTGTGTAGGTGACCTTACGGACGTGGCCGTCAGGTTCCACTAGGCTGTAAGAACCGTGCACCACTCCATTCTGCAGCGTCTCCGCAGCATCCTTGTGGTCTCCCGTGGCAGGGTCTGCTACTCCGTATGAGAAACTGTACGCTGGATTAGGGTCTACAGGCTCAGCGCGCACAACCTACGTTAAAAACGAAACGTCATTAACAAATTCGAAGTTGAGCATAAGTTGAAATTGCCATTTCCAACAGGTATGCAAATATTTTAAAGAAAACATATCGGATATTTGTTAATGAGCTCAACTAGTGGGATGGTAGATTGTATCCGCCAAAGTTAGAAGGCAGCTAGACGAAAAGGAATCCTACTAGCGAAATGGCGAAGAAACAAATAATGATCCTAAAAGTTGCTTGATGCAAGCTTTAGTCTAATAATAGATAAGAACATTCATCGTTAAATCAAAATGTTCAAACCATCAAACGTGTTTCATTCTCACCGAAGCTGCAACAGCTTTGACGACGGGTGCAGCGTATGTGTGTGCGATGGCGGGAGCGTACGCTGGTGCTGCCACGGCATGAGCGATCGCTGGTGCAGCATAAGCTGGCGCATATGCTGGTGCGGCGTACGCTGGCGCGGCATAAGCTGGTGCAGCGTATGCTGGTGCTGCGTAGCCAATGCCGTCTAGTATCCCGGGCTTTGCCAGGGCACCGGCACACGCACAGCATAACAATAACAACTAAAGAAAATTGAAGGAGTACAGATATTAAAATTAATGCCAATCACGTAAGTTCCCTAATTCGAATTCCTAATGCTAATTCCCTATTAGGTATGCACATGGGGTGCGGTACATAACTGATGAAAAATAAATGGTATGCAACTCTGCAAAAAATATGTTTATGTTATTTTATAAAGACTTACTAATTCTGTGAGTTTACTTCTTACTTAGAAAATTTCCTTCTACCTTTTGAAACCCTATTAGTATCATTCTGCTTCTTGATTTTTTTAACAAAAACTATATTGTGGTACCAAGCAAGCTAGAGAATTTCCCTTAAAACTCAACTATTTCTTTTACTGCAGTGCACAAATATTTCTAATCTGATTGTAAAGACCTTCAGCTGTATCCCCTTACTGAATTCAGTGCTTACGGAAGCTTTATGACGTGTGTCTCTAGTCAGTGTGTCTAGATCTGTGACAATTGTCTTCAACGTAAAATGATTTTCGCAGATTTAGTTTAGCAAAGTGATATTATTATATAAATAGTTTGTTTACCTTAGCGAGCATGTTAGTGGCGTGCGCACGTCGTGGGGTGTATTGCACGTGTGTCGCTCCCCGCCAGCGCGCCGTATATAAAGCGGCTCGGAGGCTGCGGCACCGGACCACGCACGATCTACACTTGATACACATTTCGCAACAAGGATACTAACATATGTGTATTACATGGCTAAAGGCTAGTTATGCTTAATTATTAGTTTAGGAGAGTCGTTGAACTAGATCTAGGTATAGTGCGCTAGTGGACGCTAATGTTCTCATGATTTTGTTACATGGACATTAAAGCGCAGCTGCTAATCAGGTTCAAATTATCCGAACCAAACAACAGACACAGATTGTTTAACCTGGACGATATGGAAGTCATAGCGTGTAGCCTATTTTCAGAATTGGACAGTTAGATAAAACTGATCTCTTCATTCAACAAATATTGCCGAATTACGTAGGAAGTGATTTACGAAATCTTTTTGCTGCTATCACTAAATAAAAGAGAACTTTAATGTCAAAATCCTGTTGTCATTTCTTTCTCAACACCACTTACACACCTTTATCTCCCGAGCGGACGGCACATCGGATACCGCGCTCGTCTCAAAGAGCCATCCGACCACTACGGATAGCCCAATAGGGCTGATGTCGATATGGAGCCGCGGGGAACGTAAACGGTTACCGGGGTTCTGGCTCGATGTACAGGAGTAGGAACAGGGTGGTTTTTAGTCAGTAAGAGTCTGACACTGTGAGGCGGGAGGGCCGCCTCACCCAGGCGGTAGAAGATATTCGATGATTTTTACTCCCTTAAAAAAATCTTTATCCCCTCAATTACATTATAGTCACTTGCTATTATTCCTCACAACATTTTGTGATTACGTCATTGTCACCCAACAACACCGGACAACACCCATAACTCAATAAGCATGTCATTTACGTGAAAAACTTAATCAGCATAGTACTTACTACGTTTTTGGTATCCATGAAATATGGATCCGGTACAGATTAGCGCCTTAATATTATGTGGCCAAACAGCTTCATGAATCTAGTTGACAAGTAAACTGCTAAGAAAATAACGCAACGTAGTAACTCCCTAAAATCGAAAGTTCTAAAAACTGATGCAAGAAACGCTAAGGTTTGCACAAAGTTATCAGTTCTTGTATCATTATGGTCCGTTATGGAGACTAGGGCTTGGCATGACTCGATTTTAACATATATGAGTCAATCTACTTACCTACATGTGTAATATTACCTATATTCTCTATTTTACACCTCGTTTAAATAGTTACGTCTAGTAGCTGACTGCAATTTAATAATGCTGTGTCTGATTCGAGAATCGTTTGCTTCGAACCCTTTGCTCAGCTGTCGTCTCATGAATATGTCCTAGCAAATACGACAAATAACTCATCTGAAATGAAACCGTTTTTTGTTGTTCGTAGTTTTTATGCAGCGACTTAGTGACAGTCATGGAGGTCCAAATTAGATTCCAGTCAATCAGTGCATTACAAATGTACAACAAGGGAGGCTGGTTTGATATCAACGGCAATTTTGGACCTTTTATCTATTTTCCTACAGTCCATTTCCAGATGTACTGCCAATTTCAATAACCTATTTCAATCCAAAATACCCCCTTCCCCAATATCCTCAATCCTCGAATCCCCAACAATCCTCAAATTCCTAATCCCCAAAAGGCCGGTGAAACACTTGTAACACCTCTGGTGTTTCGGGTGTCCATGGTCGGCGCCGATTGCCGATTGCTTACCATAGTTACCATCAGGTGATCCGTCTGCTCGTATACCGGCTTCTTCCATAAAAATAGTCTACTATCTGTTCTAACACTTTGTGAGTCACACAGCCTATGTGTGGGGGTTATAACGCGATTATACTTGCCGATACTAACAATTTATGGAACACTAATGCATACGTATACTAAATGCAACTTACGACCAATACAATTTATTTAATGAGGTCACGTTAGGTACTTGATTAGGAAATTCGTTCGTTAGTCATCCGATTAAGCTGTGGAGGTTGACTCCCGGATATTATAAACAGTATAAAGTATTATTAGTTTTAGCGATCACAGAAATAGAGTTTCTTTAAACCTTGGAGCCGTCTTTTTTTTATTTTCTAATCTTCCCAAAATAGGTTTCTTTTTCCTGTATCTCCTAAGCAATTTAACAAAAGTGCACACTTCTTTTTACGATCCATGTCACGACCAAGTTTGCAGTTTAATATACATATGTACATTTAGTACGGTTGACGGTCGACGAAGGAATGGTCATCCTGGGAGATGTCTTGTCGCACGAAATTGCATCGCAGCAAATCGTGCGTTATTTTCTGCGTTGCGAATTCGTAGGCATCGCATCGTAGTTTTTTGTACGAGCCCTAACACGTGCACCTCTGCTTCGGTGAACAGGAACAATTTTGAGCACAAGACAATCCGCGAAACGTCACCGATTCATGGTAGATGTTCCGCCCACACACACGAAGCGCTTCGCTTCAAGCTTCCTTGTGCGTACTGCTAAAGAGTGGAATTCTTTGCCAGAGTCTGTGTTTCCTGAAGGGTATAACCTGGGAGTCTTCAAGGCCCGAGTGAATAGGTTGCTTATGGGACGACGTGCTCCATCGTAGACCGCATCATCGCTTACCACCAGGCGAGATAGTGGTCAAACGTCGCCCCATCAAATATAAAAAAAAGAAATGGCACAGTATTGACACCTGAACATAACCACATCCACTTTATGATCTCAGTCTCGCTTAATATTGCATCAGACGGTAAAAGGTGATCGGACAACCTGGCCCTAACAAAGATAAATTTATTTGGTTTAGCTTGGGTTTAGCTGTAGTCAAATTGCATCAGATAGGTTTACGGCTCGAATGGAATTAAGATTTCTTTTTGTTTTCCAACAAGTAGGTATGTCCCTATCTTGTAAAAATGTCGGGACAAACTTTCTGCGTCGAACAAAAATATTTTGAAATTAAAATGTCAACTTACGGTAAAACAGAGTGAATAGAATGGGGTGAATGTATTAGAACATTTTCTCAATATTTATTCACCCCTTGAATTCTATTCACCATAGATAATGCTATTCACCCCGTTTTACCGTACGGTATTTCCTTTAAAGAAGCTTTTATGTAGTTTCATGTAAAGTAGGTAGGTACGTAGCAACCTACTCTTTTTGAAAATTTCGGCAACGTATGTAGGTATTTAAAACAGTTAAGATTATTCCGATGTTGCGTTTGCATTGGCGGCGCTTATCGCTTACCATCAGGTGATCTGTCCGATCGATTGCCCCCTATTCAGTCCGACAAACCCTTACTAACCTTTGTACTAGCTATTGATCTGTAAAACTAAAACAATTTGTATATCTAACATATCTGTCATATTTCATTAGGTACATATGTAGACGACCTAATAGTCCTGACGGACCTAGAGCCAATGACATAACGATTAAGACCTAGATAACTGACCAATAACAATGTCAAGCCGTATTCGAGCAAATAATGTCGTTTACCGAGCTATTTGTGGTTTTAAACAAAGTATATAATATGAAGTAGGATACAACAATGTGTGGTTCCACTTTAAGCGTTAACCCTTAATCTGTCAAACACCAAGCGGTCACCGGTGACCGCGACCTATTGTTCTTTAATTGTGTCTATAAAACCGGTACTCGACGAGTTAATTTGGCAAGACAAAAAAATTTTAATACTCGTGTTTTTTTCACATTTTCGGCTTTACTAGGAGTTGTTGAGACAAGAAAAAATAATAAAAAAAATCTGGAATCACCTCATTTCCTGAAAATGCATGTCCAGTATACTGGACCTTGCCAGGTTTGCCATAAAGTTGTCAATCATTTTGATGTGCTGTATATTACACATTGCCGAATTATTACTTACTTGTACTTATTTCTGTTTTGAGTAAGTGCTAAAATAAAATATAATAAAACGCAAAAACAATGATGTTTTGTATTGTATTAGAATTTTTTTATTATTTATCAATATAATGAGGAACAATTTACTAAAATTAAGTGAGATCAACAATATAATCAGTCTGAATGAAAGGATACGTAACAATTATTATTCTAAATTTCAAATAAAATTAAACAACTATAGTATTATATAATCAGTCAACATAGTTAGAAACTTTCACTTACTGTGATAATCATAAAAACAATTTCTCTTACGTACTAAACACAGTCTTTGGTTGCATTTTAGACAATACACATCAGTCTTATTTTTGATGCATAGTTTGCAGCGACCGTATGACTCTCCAAAACTAGGAAAATGGCCAATACTATCATAGCGGACACTGTCGTCTGTCCGACAGTTGTTGCTTACAGATATACGAGATCTACTTTTATTCTGTAGCTCTCTTGCTAATTGGCACCGAAAAGATTTCAAAGGCATGTGCTTCTCTGCCCGATTACTAAAATCTCTGCGATAAACTAACCAGGCGTTGTTGACACAAATGTCGAGCATTTGGGCAAAGATTGCAGTATACCAACGACGACTCTTATAAGTAGTCCGATACAACGCAACCAGCATATCTGCGAGATCGACGCCTCCCATGTTAGTATTGTAATGCTTTATGAGTTCCGGACAGTCCACATCAACTCGTGCTTTCATTTCCTTGCTGTACCTCTTTATTTTACCTACAGGGTAAGCATCAGCGTAAGTACTGATGAGAGTAACCACCTTATTATCATACCATTTAACTATAGCTACCTTATTGTCATTGTCAACGACTTGACAATAAGAACCTCTGCCTTTCTTTTTTAAAGATTTATCACTCATCAGTAGTTTTTCACAACCTTTTAGCCGGTTTTGGCGTATAGTGCCTAAACTAAATATACCACATTCGTCTCTAAGGTGTATTGCCAAATCTAGAGTCGAGAAGTAATTATCAAAATATACGACGCAGGCTCTCATCTGTATTGTCTTGCATAAAGCAATGACAACTTTAGCTCCTAAAGTTAAGGTTTCTTCGGCTTGTGAAAACTGGATATATCTGAATGTGTCTTCACCTCCATAAAGCAAGAAGTCATATACAATTCCCGACATGCCTGCTTGGACAAAGTTTTTGAAACCCCATTTATTGGGTTTCATGGGATTGTACTGACTCCTGTTACCAGCCTTTTTGCCTTTATACGGTA